ACACAACACTGGTGGTCTTCAGCAAATATTAAAGCATTTCTGTGAACATCTACATACGGCTTTGAGCTCGGGAGTGTTGAGGCAAACAGCAACATGCATAGGCACTTGCATTCGTTCTCTGATACCACCTATCGGGTCGTTAGGTCAATAGGCGACATCGATCTACAAGTGCACCTGATTGGCCTTATCCGCGCGGCACGTGCGCCACTCTTCTGCCAAGTCTGTTCGGCGGTGGCACACGGACGACCGGACTGGAACGGAACAGTCCCGGTGGCGCGGCTGCCGGGGCACCGTGATCGGCGATGGCTGCCCTTCATCATATCCGTCCTCGTTAAATGCACCGGCAGTGAAAACAACTTCTCGTTTTGTGTAGGGTTGTCTCATAGTTCAGTCGCCTGAGGTGGTGGAATCGGTTTGCATACAGCTGAAGTGCATGCTTGCTAATCGCGTGGTTTTTTACGCACACGTGTTTTGGTTGTACTTGTGTGGTAGTGCGAGTGTCTCACCAGTTACTTGTGATGACGCTTTATTTCCGCTCACCTGGTACATGGGTAAGTTGGGATGCTATAATTATGGACGGCTAGTGGGGCATCACTGTACTTTCGGGGAGCCTGAGCCCTCCCCCAATGTTGACTTGAGCCCCCCCCCCCCCCCCCCAACTCCCACCTCCAGCAGAGTCCCATGAATACATATGAGCAAAGAAGAAATGCTAGGCCAAATAAATACAAAACAATTAACTACTGGTGTACTTGATGGGAGGTACTTAAATACACCACGATTAGTATCATGCATATTTTGTGCGAAATAGTGTCCTGTACGTACCTACTGGTTGTGGCATGCTAGCTCCTTCATATGCGAAGCCAGCATGCAAGTGTGTGACAAGATTTTGTTTTCAAATGATAGCTCCTGGATTGTGGTAAAGAACAATTCACTGCAATATGCGACAGCTTTTAGAAGTACACCGGGCCCTGATATGAGTTAATGCATGTTTTCACACAACAGTAGCCAGTGTATTTGTCGCATAATTGTGGCCATTGTGGTTACATAACTCGATCAGCAACAGCGGTAGTCAGCAGTGATCACTTTGTAAGGTTTACTAAGATGCATTTTTGTTCTGTGAATTACGCCCCATTCTAAGCGTTTCACAAAAGGCAACTTTCATTAGCTTGAAGTGGGGAGTCATTCCTCCGCAGGAAAGTAATTTTGAATATACGGAACATTAAAGTTTGTTTTTTAATTAAGCTTCGAGGAAGCAAAGTCAAATTGCCGAAATATGGGGAGAAATAAGAAATCATGTTTTTTGGGTGTTGGTGAGGCCAACGTTTTCTGCTGAGCGCTCCAAAACCGATTTTAGAAAAATTGCTTCTTTTTTCCAGACCCTTCATGAAGATTAATGTGAATTTCATGTGACTGACAATTTGTGTTCGTTCCAGACACGGCGTCTGACAACCGGCCATGACAATCACATACAACGCCGAGGTTGCGTCGATAAAAAGCTTCGGCGTCTTTTGGAAGCTGTTGTGTCGGTGAGTTATTCTTCGGTGGAAGCGCGAAAGGGTGCGTGATTTGTTTGAGAACTCGTCGGAAGTGTAGCCGATATGTGTTTCAATTGCGTCATTGAATGACCTTCCGCTAAAGAGGCATTGCATGCTAACGCCAGCGCATCGCTTGGGTCGCTGAGTGTGTGGTCTAGTGATTATTGAAGGGGGGTCCACATTTGTCTGGGGTTTTGAACTGAGATGGCCAGTTGGATGATCATGAAATGAAATTCATAGCCACGCCCTGTTATGACTACTTTTTGTTTGGGAGTTTAACGCACGCGAACTTGCGCAGCAGACTTTTTCGCCGCGGCCTATTTGAAGGCCACTCAGACATGCATAACGTCATAGAAACGGCACGCGATTACCACCATCTGAAAAGTCATGAAGTGCTCAAGGCCAACCAAAATAATGATTGCCGAATCATTCGTGTTTGGCGTGCGGCAGCACGATTCGCGGCATCAATACACAACACTTGGTCTACAACCAGTTTAATGTGTTGGGTGCAAGCTTCGAACACGAATCACGTTTTGTGCTACATGGCACAGGAGTTTGGGTAGTGGTGCCAGTTATGGCGGAAATTAATAATGTACCAACTTAATAATAGTACCGTAATGGAACAGGTGAGTGCAAGTAGAAAAATAGAATTTCCCGGAAAACTATACAAGAACAGCACAAGCAAGGGCCAAAACGCACGCAGTAACAATATTCGGGTTTAGCAACACGCATCAGTTAACAAGTCGCCTCGGCAAGCCGCGGTGCTACCCGTCCACCACAGTGGCAATTGTGACATGGCCAGTCTGGCTGCGACTATGGCGTTATGAAATTGTGTTATTTAGATCAGTTTCCGGCATATAAAAACATACCAAAAGTGGCAAGTGATCTTGATGTCATCTTATAAGATGCTTGTTTCAATAGCTTTTGGCATGGAGCATTTTCTTAAATTGGACTCAAGACCTTGGTGAGATCTGCTTTTCATCTTCTACGTGCATAATTTGCATGGCTGAGGCTGCCGCGCTTTACAAGGTGTTCCGCATTTGAAGATATTGGGACAAGCATCAGGTATAATGAAATAAGCTGACTTATAACTTTTGGTAGGATTTAAAGTGCAGGAGACTGCTCTAGATAACACAATTTCATTACTTGGTAAGTATGCTCCTCACTACGTCGTCGTTTAAGTGCGTCATGGAACGTTTGTATGACGTGAGAGTGGTCGTCAAACTGGCCGTACGAAACTGGCAGCGTAGCGGGCGGGCTGACTCACTTGTAGTACTTGTCGAGGGGTGTCATGCTAATCGGTGCGCTGTGTGCAGAAACCAAATATCACAGTGCGCGTGTTTTGCCCCTTGTTGGCGGTGTTGTAGCACGTTTGTCCGTGGTTGTGTATTCGTTACTTGCATTCACATCCTCGGTCATGGCGTTTTTCTTAAGTTATTCAATTTCCAGTCTTATGTATGCCCACTGCCCAAGTTTCTGTACCATAAGCACAAAACGGGATTCGTGTTCGAAACTTGCCTGAAACGGCTCACCCCAGGGCAATTAAGGTCCGTTGGTGCCAAAAATATTGCTGACGCGCGCTGATCGCGAATAGCTCCATGATAATATTTTCGTGGGCTTGAGCGCTGCATGTCCAATGAGGAGGTTGTGTTCGTGTGACGTTACTATGGCGTCATGCACGCCTGGGTGACATTGGAACAGTCTGCACGAAATAGTCTGAGCAAGTTCGCAGGGCGCTATGTTCAGAAACCAGATGGTTTTAAAATCTTAAAACGGGCTGGCCTGTGAGCTGTACCATATACTCTCTTTAAAATGGATGTGTCAGTTCAAAACCTCGTACAAATGTGGAACATTGTCCTTGACATTAAAACAAGTGTTCCGGGAATGGGCGTGGTGTCAGAAGTTCGGTGCGTCCCCATCTCTTACCTTGTTTTGTCTTTCCCTTCAGATGGAAGGGAAGCATTTACAAGTTGGTCTGGCCAGATCTAACCCTTTACATCGTTTTATATTTTACCCTTAATATGTCATACCGATTCGCAATGAATGAGAATCACAGACAGTAAGTTCATGCGCATTGGTGTGAACAGTGAACGCGCTGGTATATCGCTCGTTGCTGACGTCCAAAACCATTGGCCACATTAACGCGCTAGACAATGAAAATGTCATGGTACGTGCTGTAGCAAGGCGCAAAGTAGTACGGTCAACAGACTGGCGTAATAGGACTTGAAATAGAAAGGGCTTATCCAGGCAAGCAGTCAATGCACGTTTGGTTGTTTTCCGTCGCAGCCAATGTTGCATATTGCGTACCTATGTCCATGTCAACGAGTGCTGGCCGCGCACCATGTGACTGGTAGCCACACTGGCCCCTTCTGGGCTGGTGGGCGGCGCTTTCATTCGCCAAGCCAACTGTGGTGCTCCTTTCTGGTGCTCTGGTTCGTCTCTAGCGTGCTGTTCCGTGCGGTTCAGGTCTGTTGCCCTGCCTTCCGCCCCAGTATAGGCCTGAGGGCCATTACCCCGGCAGTTGAGGAGCGTCTCACCGTTTTGCCTTGTGTGACCGCGGGCCGCCGTGCGCAGGCTGTTTGAAGAGGTGGCGAAGTACTAGCGCGAACTTCAGCACCTTCATCCCCATGTCGTTCGTGCTCGGCTTCTATGTGACAATCGTGGTGAACCGCTGGTGGGAGCAGTACATGGCCATGCCCTGGCCGGACTCACTGGCCGTCTACGTCAGCACCAACATACACGGCAACGTGAGTAACACCGCGGCGCACCGTCTGCGCCTCGTCTGCAGACGCAACTGACACCGTCTCTAGATGCACGGTGTCATCGGGAGCGTGAAAGCTACATTGGGTTATATTTTTATCATCTAGTGGTGTAATGTTCTTTTCCTTAAACAGCTGTGGGCGCGTGAATTAAACGTTGCACAAGCGTGCTCTCAAGAAATCGTTTACTCCGTTGTGTTTCCATTTTTTCAAAGACCCAGGTCATGATCCTGGTATTCTTCATCTGCCCTCAATACGGTGCCTTTGAACGTCTCATTTGTGGATTAGTGTGGCAACGGAAAGTGTGTCAAAATAGTTTCTACTAACTTCATAACTTCTCTTTCGTAAAACAAACATTCAAAAGCCATGCACTGGTACAGGAGGGGGGAGGGGGGGGGGGGGCTAAAAGATTCTGGTTCTAGTAATCCAATGAAACTGATCGAAATCCAAAAGCGTGCGCGCTGTGTGCAACGGCTAATTTACACACAATCTTCAAATGAAAGCTTGCCACGCACTGACGTACTGGATAGCATCATGAAATGGCTCTGGCTCGTAGCATACTTGAATAGTCCTAGCTCGGCCCAGAGATCGGAAAAATTACCCGTTGAACTGGAGTGTCAGGGAATATAGCTGACGCATTCGAGGTGCATGTGACAGGCACTGTTTATCACATATTCTTTACGTGATAATGATTGAAATCATGGAGCCTTTTGAGCCATCTTGCGTTGTCGGTACTCCTAACGAGAAGTACCCTTGTGAACCATGTGGAAGTGTGTCTAAGTCTAGTCCCACTCTAGCAGCACATGCCGCATCGTTTCCCCTCGTCAGCCTGCAAGGTGTGTTCACGCGACACTTGTGCTGCCGTCGCGACGCATGACGTTTGCGGGGATATGGAACAATGTACCGTGTAAATTATTGAGATTGAATTATAAAGATGAATGTGCTAGGTTGGAAAAAGGTGTGGTTTGCGTGTTTGGTCAAGGGTTCGTCCGGATGCCGCTTGGGTCAGTGGTTCTGAAATGTGCACTGATGTGCACGGGCACTGGTTGGGGTGATAATGTCACAAGGGGGGGGGGGGGGAGGTGAAAGCCAAATTGGAGTGGTTTTGTCCCTAATACACATGCCTTGTAGGGTAACACCTAAGAATCCTTGACACCATGATCCGGATATCGACACCTTCCGATCTACATCATATTTTTATTCGATCATGTGTCCTCTCATTGCGCGGGCATAATTAGGGGAACATTGGCTCGTAAGGCAGTCCGCTGTTGCAGAATTATGCGGACTTCAATTTGAATTTTGAAATGTATGTACTTCGAACCTTTTTGATAACTTGAATTTCTGGGCTCAGACTTCACGCTGGACAGCCCTTCCTGCTGAACGTCACCATCGCCACCACCCGGACGCCAACATCTGGACGCTACCATCCGTATGCCACCATGCGGCGCGAAATTCTTAGTCAACTGCAGAGTTTTAAGACGAAACGGCACATTAAAGACATTTGTGCGCTGCACTTTACGGTAATTAAATATTGGCTTAGGTGACATTATGTCTTTAGTGGTATTCTTAAATGCGGGCTTTTGGGCTGCGTTTTTGTCAAATACACATTTCCGGCTGGGTTTCTAGCTGTGACCCTACGGGTGAGGTCAATTGAAAAAGAACCGTTGTGGACGTCGCAATATTTCCGTTGTTCCGCATTCTGTTTACGCTGGAAATATGTATCTCTCAATTAATACTTTTGTCTCGTTCCGTAAAACATCGGTTAAATTTCCTTGGCACGCTCAATGTTTTAGACGCTTTCAGTCATGAAACCAGATGGAACCAGGCTTGCGTTTGATTCAACTCCACTGGATTGAATCGATTCTCACTCAGAATGATTCAAATCCGACTTATGATTAGAGTCAGGCTTTCTTTTCAGTGCTTGAGACTATCTGATGATGCAGGCGGATTGGCGTGCGTTATTTTGGCCTCCGTTCTGGATGAAGCAGAATAGGATCTGAATCTTGATTGGGTTTAACGTGATTTTAACAACTTGAAATATCGCCTGTACTAGAACGGTAACAACGGTCAGCATATGCAAAAATCGAAAGAGCTTACGACTAAAAAAGAAGAAAGCGCATAGGTTAGGCCCTGGGCGGGAAGGCATAGGCTACAGCGGAGCATGCACTATATATACTAAAAGAAGTATGAGACGACGAAAACTTTGATACTTTCCTCTGCAGTCGCTCATGGCATAGAATGCGGTGGAGAACCAACCTGACCGGTCGGCAGGAATGACCAATGATAGCTGCCACATGATACGCAACATAGCCCGCAGCTGGCTTAAAGCGCGGCACATGCAGTGGTTTGGGGGTGGTTTTCTTCTCTTGTAATATCATCCCGAGACCTTCCGCGTCATGAAGGCGAGGTTTCTGCGACATGGAGCACGGCCCTGTCCGTGGCCCTCTGAGCTGGGGTGGCCGTCGGGACCCGGCAGAGCACAGCACAGCGCTGGAGCACGGCGGGCTCCGCCTCGCGCTGAGCTATGATGGGCGGTCCGCGGCGCAGCTTCCCCGCCCGCACCGCTTCCCTGTATCAGCAGTGGTGCACGTCTTGTGTACACAGTGCCAGCGACGGACCATTAACGTCCCCGGCGCTCAGGCGGGAGTCGGACGGTCTGTGTAATGCCGGGTTCCCTCTCGACATGGATCGTCCGGGGCCCTCGTGCGTGTGTACCTTGGCAGCTTGCGAGCTTCAGAGGCGTGCCGCGTCGCATCCCGCCATAGAGACCGAGCCCTTTACCTTTGATAAGCTGCTTGCCGTCGGACGTGCGATGCTGTGCACGCGACGACGACAGCGCAAGGGTGCCAAGTCGTTTGTCTTGTTGGAGATGTGACCTAGTATCTGACGTTCTGCAGTCGTTCTCCTTGAAGGAGTGACCCCGCATCTGACGTGCTGGATGGAGTGGCTCCGCGTGGGATTCCGTCGGGATAGTGTGGATAGCTCTGCTCCCCACGGGGTTTGTCGCCGGTCGGCCTCTCTCAGTGTGCCTCTGTGTCACCTCTGGCAACCTCTACGAGCCGATTTCGGCCGAGAGCGGCGTCAGGTCGTCACCAGCCGCACGTCAGCCCTGTCGAGGTCCCTGCGCCGGGCCGGGCACTCGCGCCGGCCCGGCTCGCACTTGGCGAGCCGACCCGCCGGCGACCGGTCGGCTCGGTCGACCGGACGCCGATCACCGGCAGCCCCGCCGCCGCACCCGCCCTCGCCCCACCGACGCGCAGACGCGGCGGCGGCGGCGCCGGCGGCAGCCGGCCCACGTTTGCGCGCGCAGACGCTTCGGAGGGAGTGGTAGGTGGGCTCTCCCGTAATAGGCACTGCCGGACGTGCATCGAGCCGGCGTCCTCTGAGGAATGGCCCGCGCTCGTCGTGATTTCTGTACATGGTGTGTCGGCTCGCTGCGTCGTAACACTGTGGCCGAATGCGCCACCGGAGAACCCGGTGGTTGTCATGTTGCGCAAATATCAAGGCTTTGTAGGAATATTGCGGCATAATGCACATACGTTGGTGGAAAAGAAGATACGACATAAGCGGTAGTTATGCATGGGTTAATTTGCTAATGTAATAAAAATAATGCCAATAACATGGGCGCAGTTCCTTTAAGCAGCGACAAATGCATGGATTGTACGGCTCTCGTGATTTCGAGACGTAGCTCCTAGGTCTGCGGATTAAATCAGGCATTGATGGTCTACACCGGCGAAAGTCAAACGCATGTGCATTCAGCTGACCACATCGCCGTAGGTTCACATCCCAAAGTCGTAGACATTCCCAGTTTCTGCCGGCTCAAACTGGTCTGAACCGGCCAATAGCACACAATCGCTCCTGGCCGGTGCGGGCGCTCATCGGAGGTCTAATTATGGGCTGTGCCGTCGTCCGCGCCGGCTGCCGCCTTGCCAGAGGGCCTGCAACGCTCCCCACTGGCGGCCCCTGCCTGGCGCATGCTGACCTTGGCGTTGCAGCATCGCCATCTCCACCAGTCGCGAGGCGCCTCGGGTCCGCCGGATGGCGCGCCGGCATGGCACCGGCCGCCGTGAGGCGGTAACCTGGCCGGTTTTCAGGCGGGACACCGCGGGCCGGCGCGGGCCGGGCCGGTACGGCCGGCAGCGGGCCGAGCGGCGCCGCGTCGTCTCCGCACCCGATGCTTTATTGGTCGGCGCATCGGCGGCGGGGCGGGCGCCGGCCCGGGCTTGGCGGTCGGCGCGCCGTCTCCGCACCCGACGCTCTGTTGGTCGGCGCGTCGGCGGCGGGGGCGGGCGCCGGCCCGGGCTTGGCGGTCGGCGCGCGCTGGGACGCGGCCCGGCGTCGCTCGCCCATGACCTGCCGCTGGCTGGTGTGCGACCTCACCGTTGACGTTGGCAGGCGCGCCGTGATAAGTCGCGGGCCGCGCTCGACTCGCGTCCGGCGCTGCCCGCGCTGCGGGCCGCCGCACGTCGCCGCGGCCGCGGGCCCGTCGGCGGCGACGCATGTCGTGGCCGGCCCCGGGGACGAGCGGCCGCGCTGCTCCCGCATACTCCTGCTCGTGCTCCAGCTGCGCCGCGCTTCAGGCTGCGCCATAACCCGCCTCAAACCCTCTCGTAACCCGAGGTAATTGCTGGTCCGGGATTCGATACAGCCATTGCGGCGGACGGCCGGGGCCCAGCGACGGCCCCGGCTCAACGCCGCGGCCAGCGGCGGTCCCTGCCTGACGCTGGCGAGGCGATGGTGCGGTCTGCCCTTGACGGTCGTGCAGCTGCCCTGCATGACTGCCGGGCTGCTGGAAGACGGGAAGATGCTTGATGGCCGCGCGGCATTTGGTCCGAGCGCTCGCTCGCCGTCAGTCTGCATGGCCATATGCGTTGTGGGTCTGCCCGAAGCGATCATTTACCGGCAGGCGTTTGAATGCGGATCAGGCAGATCAGGCCGCGTACTATTGGCTGTGTGCGCCGTCAAGTCTGGCGACCCTAATGACCACAGCAGCTACATGCACCGTAAAACAGCCCCCGAAATGGCAATAAAGGAAGGCCTGCGGGTCCGGAAGCTAAATTACCGCTAGCGACTACGGAGAGGACCCTGGTGGGCCGTCTTGGCTGCTATGTCGCTGTTGCCACGGCCGGTGCCGAGCCGTTAAGAAATTCTGGCGGGAAATCTGTTCAGCTTTCAGGCAGCGTTTGGACGAAGGATTCTCCACAGCAAAATTGAACACTATTGGAGGGAAGCTGCAAGAAATGGCGCCCAACCGCGACGGGCTGTATATGGCGAAAAAGTGGTTTGAAAACGGCGACTGCTTTGATGGACTTCTGCAAATGTCAGGAATGTGTGTCTGAATCGTGCGGCGCTGACGTGCGTCACGGTGACCCGGCCTCTGCCGCGGCTCTGCCAGAGCCCTACCCAGCCAGCCGGCCGACCGCCTCGCCTCGCCTCGGCCTCTGCCGCGGCTCTGCCAGAGCCCTGCCCGGCCAGCCGGCCGACCGCCTCGCCTCGGCCTCTGCCGCGGCTCTGCCAGAGCCTGCACGGCCAGCCGGCCGGCCGCCTCGCCTCGGCCTGCTGTCTGCGGCTTCTCTGGGAAGCCGGAGAGTAAAAGGCGACTTCCGAGGACCGAGGCGCCTGTGTCATGCTCGGCGGCAGGGCAGCGACCTCTTACAGCCACCACCAGGCCGCCTTTCCTGGTCGCACGCAATGCGTGCGACACGAGATCAATTTTAGTGGGCAATTAATACAGGATGAACTTCCAAACGCGTCCGGTGGATGGGGGCGTAACCCTTCCAGCATCTGGGCGTTCGAGCCTTGCCCAAGCAAATCAACTTGCCCCGGCGAAGTTAACACTGTTTTCAACGCCGCGGGTCGTGGCCGGTTATTGGCGTCAGTAACCGCCGCCTGACCCGTGATATGACCTCCAACATGCGGCGGAAATAGTTCCACGACATATGGTTGATGTACCTGGGGGAAAGCCGTCTCCAAAAGCACAGCAGTTCGTCCGTCCCGGTAAGGGCGGCTCCCCTTCTTGTCGACGTAGCAACATCCGGGAGAGGAGGGAAGGGAGGCTCCCCTTCCGGGAAGGGAGGCTCCCCTTCGACGTAGCAACATCCGGGAGAGACGGGTATATGATAATCGATGACACGCGCCTCTGCGCTCATGTCGCGCGGCTGCACAAGTCGTGGTGAGATGTTTATCTAGCAACAGAGTCGTGCGTCGCAATTGTTAAATGTCCATCTGTGCTGAACGTCACAGTGGTGTTCATTGGCCACGACGTGTTCAGAGAGCTTCACTTCGAGGCCCGCTACACGCCCATCGCGACGCGTGCCGCGACTGGCACCCTGTGCCAGTGGGTCACGATCGCCGGTGACGCCATCTGGCAATGTCGCCCGCGGCATCCAGCGCCAATGGGGGAATTGGGCGCTGTTGCTACAGACAGATAGCTACTTTGGTGGCGGCCCGCCTCGTCAGCCGTGTGGCGTGATGTCGACGTCGCGGGTGCCGAACGCCGCCGGCTTCGCCCGTCGTGCGTGGTCGGGTCGTTGACTGCTGCCGCGGTCAGCTGCCGCTGGCGGGCGGTCTGTGTCGGCCTGCCTTGTTGCTCCGCCCCGCCCGCCGAGCGTGACTCCAGGGCTTGGCAGCCTTCCGCGCGAGAAGCGGACACCTGTGATGTGCCCTGCGCCCACCTCGCTCGGCCGGGCCGCGTTTATCCGGTGCTCTCACGGCTTTGTTCCTCGGGGCTATCACCGGAATGGAGGGAAGTGGCGGTTTCGACCATCTGTTTGTGCGTTCGTCGCGGTTAACTGTTTGTTGATGGCGGTGAAGTGCCTGCTGGCCTTGCACGAACTTTGTGCTGGCCTTCGTTTTCCGCTATTAGGTGTCGCTCGGGCGCAATTTATGACTCGCACCGCAGCAAACACAATGCCCGCGGTTGTTTTTTCCTTGGCTGCGGACGGGCGACGGGGATAAATGAATCACCAGGCTTCAGACTTGCGCCTGGCTTTCGACCGACTGGATTGCATGCTGGGAATGCTTGGAATGGGATGCGTTGTCCACCGCCATGTCCGTTTTGGAAGATTATCGCAACCCCTAATGTTTGCAAGCACTGATGCATCACGACGCTTAATGTGTCACACCGCCTGATGTATCACAGCGCCTAGGGTATCAAAGCACCTAATGTTTCATTACCCCTAATGTCTCGCAATTCCTTACATATGACACGTACTGAATCAGAGCACTTCGTATCATAACTTATAATTTTTACATAACGCCGACCGTATCGCAGTCTCCCTGATGTTTGCAACCCCCTATTGTATCACAACTAGTATAGATTTACACCTAACGCATCACAACACCTAGTATATCATAACCCCTAATGTATCATAACTCACGATATCAACTGACGACGCAGGCGAGGGCTGACGATTTTTGACCGCATCGAGTGCGGCTGCCCTGGGAAGGGGGCTTCTACCGGGGCTACCGAGCTGTGTATGCATTCGTGGCGCATGCTCGTGTCGAACACAAGGACAGCCAGAGCCCAGTCCAGAAACCTTTTCCCTTCTCGGCGACAATGAGCAGTCACAGCAAAAAATGCATCGAGAACCATCTTGGACATATAAACGCCTTGGATCAGGCGCGCAGCCAGAACCTTGGCAAAGGGTGAAGCAGAGGAATGACAAATGACCCCTGATAGCGAATAGTCGTCCTCCCCCCCCCCCCCTCCACCCCCACAAAAAAATCATCGGATATGTCTCATTTGTTAATGAGGGCATGATTTTGTTCGATTTGCTTTTCATGTCTCCGCTTCTATAACCGGAATAGAAGCCAGAACCTGCTGCGAGGTAGATTCTGTCTGAATTGTGTGGTAAATAAACTGAAGAAATCATGCGTTGAGCGATTTCATGAACGAAATACCGGCGCTCTCCATTTTACAAGGCTGCAGTGCGCTCTCTGAACCGACAAAACTCAGAACCTTCGTCAGAATTTGTGTCTGGTTTCTACAGAGATATAAGGTAAGGCGAATATGGTTTGTATATCGAAATGTAATCTGTATTAGCATAGCCAAGCCACGTTTGTCTGCAGATGTCCAGCATTCAGTCAAAGTCGATTCGAGATGCGTATTATGCAAAGTAGTTCTGAACATGAGCGCTCGCAAACCTTTGAAACAAAAACCATGACGCCAGGCGTTGCGGTCTCCATGGGCCGCGCAGGGTCGCGACATTGACCGTGACATGGACAGTGGCCCGGCCCCGCAGCCTGAACCACTGAATACGACCTCCGGCCGGCCTTTCGGACCCTTTGGGCCCTCAAATTGGACCTTTCATCGTAGGTTCCGGAGGACCCTTCGGCCCCCTCGGAACTTAAGAGAGGACCCCACCATCCGAGCGGGGAAGTCCGGCTCAGTGGCCGATTTTTGCGGCGCAAGGTTAACGCCCCGCAATGCTCGGCGCGGTCCGTCCCGCCCTCTGGTGCTACTTGACATTTGCGTGCAGTCTTCGGACATGTATCGAGTACAGCGCCGTGTATGGCCGCCTGCGGTCAACCAATATGCGTACAGCTCGAAATACCTCCAATTTGTCTTGGATGAATCTCTCAGAGGACCTGTGTAATCTTCCATGTCGAAGTTATCAGTATTAGTCAATGTAGACAACCACCTCGCTTGTCGAACTTCTCTCTCCTCCACATAACCTTCACACTCCTAACTCCTCCACATACCCCCCCCCCCCCCCCCCCCCCACTTGCCCCCATGGCAGAGCGCCTCTAGCCCTCACGGGCGTGATGCCGATTGTATCAGGTACGCAGCAGAACCTGACGTCGCCTTTAGCGGAGACGGCGGGTCCAAGTCCGGGACAGAGCAGGACTGGTGCTGCCCCGGCCCGGTCACCAGTCATGCCCGTTCACTGTAGGTCATCACTGCTGACCTCTGTCTGGTGACCGGTCAGGGTTTGACACCTTAGGACGGATGCAAAACATGCTGGATACTTGGGAAGTTTTCACGAAAGCCAGTAATCAATGGTGTTGGGCAGCTGGCACAGAGTTAAGCCAACCTTTTGTCTTCTCGGTGGTGGCTGACCCGTTTCTGGCGCTTCTTTCCCTTTGATCGCTTCGGCCCCCTGGAATCCTTTGAGTGGGTTATTTCCCTATTTCAGCTTACCGCTTACAGGTAGGTAAGGTAATGCCAGGTGATGTAAAACATATCTTGTCTCCTCACCCAAACGTCAAATATTTACCCGCCTGGATAGGAAACCGCGTTCGTGCTGGGGCTGACGTGGGCAGCTACTATGGTTATCCCATAAAGGGACTGTGCCTTCCAAAACATTTTTGTGGTTGCCGTTAGTACCGTCACCATCGGGGCTTCAAACGCACACAACTGCTGCGGCCGCATGGCGTCACCTGCCGCTCTCCCTGGTGGCGGCTGCATCCGGGGTCAATAGAAAACTTTTGAAAACTGTTGCCTCGGAGTGTTGAATGCAAATTCCACACCGACGGCCGTGCTGAGTTGGTGTTGAGGAACGCACGGGATGAGGCCACTGTGACGAGCCATCGGTCCGGTTCGCGGAACGTCCCGTCCGTGTGGGGCGCCTCTGCTGACCTGATGACCTTTACTGACCTTTTGGCGTATGCTGACCTGTTGGCCGTCGCCAGCGTAGTGACATGAGCAGGTCTGGTGACTCGCTGACCCTTGGTGGCAGTGTGACCTGTGCGGACCGGGTTACTCGCCGCTCTTGTGACCCGCGCTGAAATTGTGGCATACGCTTAGCGTGGCTGATCGGGGGAACTCGCGGCCTTTGCTGACCTGGTGACCCGTACAAGCCTGATGACCTTATGACCTATCCTTATCTGTGACCCTGGGTGACTTAATGACCTTTGTCAGCCTGGTGACCAGCATTGGTCCGGTGCCGGCAGGACGATCGGGGCCGTCTCGTCCGACGCACCATCATGCGTTACGTCAACCTGGCATTCGTCTACACCATGTCCCAGGTGTGCACGCGCGTCAAGAAGCGCTTCCCCACGCTGGATCACCTGGTGGAGGCAGGTGAGTGCCGCCGACCCGGCTCGGGTCTCGGCTGTGGAGCTGGCGGCCGATACGCAGCACCGCGGGGCCGTGAAGTCAGGGCGGCAGCGGCAGAGTCTCATTACGTGCTGAGATCCCTGGATTTGGTTGTGGTGTTTGGGGGCGTTGTATGTGGACACCCGGCGCCTACCACCGAGTTGTGTGAGATGACGGTCTACGGGCCGAAAGCTTTTGCTGCTTGCGTTTTACTGATATTTAAAAACAAGTTTCCCTGTCCTTTCGGACTGCTATCTAATTGCTGTCATACTTCGCTGCGGAGTGGTGTGAAGCTTGGCGTTTCAGTTGGCTGCCGCTGCTGACCCCGCGTAACAAGCGATGACGAATTTGTTATAACCTGGGATGTTTGAGCTTGCCTGCCTCGCGTCGACCAATTTCTGTTGGCGGCAAACACCCTGCGCTGTTTTTCTGTTGCAAGTGCCGATAAGTCGTTGACGGTATGGATCAAGTGAGACTAATGGCAATAATGATAATTTCATTTTAGATCGGTTCATAACTGAATGAACCCATCTCAAATGAAAGTGGATTTGATCAGGTGGTAACAGAAGCTGCCACATTATGTCCATTTTCTGTGGGCAAGGTTTTTGATAACGATATCACTGACACCGTGCCCGACAAGTCCGCTGTGGGCACGTCGATTGGCACCTGCTTCGCACGCTCAGACGTCACTTCCACACCGATGGTAGATGCTGCGAAACTTATGTTCACTTAAAGTTGGTATGGAATTGATATTTAGCGTCACGTGAACTTTCCGAACCGAAGATGCACTCTTGTCGCCGTGTTACAATGGTGCGGAGAAAATGCACTGGAAATGGTCTGTTGACAGGCCCGGTCGCTCCCTTAAACCTCAGATTAGCGCCGTCGGCAACCGTTGTTAAACTGGCCCCGATTGAAAGCTCGCGAATACTCATCATCACCATCCTGTCGTCTTTCCAAGCCGATCGCGCATTTTTTGTTTCATCCTGGAAGGTTGGTAACTGAAAACACGTAATGCGATTTCTGGGGGGGGGGGGGGGGGGGTCGTGCGTGCGTGCGTGCCGTCCACTCGCGGTGGGATGAGACCACGGTGCGGGGCCAGATGGCGGCGATGCAGGCATACGGTCGTTACGTGTAAATATCATCTGTGGTGAACGCATTCCAGCCAGCTCCAGATGCATAGGCTCCAAATTACAGCCGTCTGTGCCCTCCGACAGGTATCATGACGGAAACGGAGAGGAAGATATTCGAGATCATGAACAAGAAGACGCCGCACCTCAAATACTGGATGCCGCTGGTGTGGGCCGGCAGCATCGTGACCAAGGCCCGCAAGGAGGGCCGCATCCGCGACGACTTCGCCGTCAAGACGCTGGTCGACAGCATCAACGCCTTCCGCTCCGGGCTCGGCAACGTGCTCAATTATGACTGGATCTCCGTGCCCCTCGTGTACACGCAGGTGAGCGACCCGTGGCGGCCGCTCAGGCCGGCTTTCGGAACGCGGCCGTGACTGTGCAGTGATGCAGTCGTGACCGTGCACTGGTACGCGGCAAGCAAAACTCATGGGAAGCATGGAGTGCGGTGACGAGTAGAATGCACGGTAGGTTTCCGACGCTTCTCCAGCAGAAACCAGTTTCTGCCGCTTTTAACATCAGGTCTCCACCGTGAGCTGCTACGGAATGAGGCCGTTGCCGGTTCGTCTGGTTGATGGCGTTACGAGCTTTAGAGCGTTAAACGGGCCCTGTTCAGCGCGGAGGCTGGTCGATGATAGATTGTGATAATGCTTGGGGATTGACGTCTCACTGACTGCCACGGTCATTTCGAGATGAATGCCTGTATTAGGTATCATGTGGGATACTATGGTGGCGTGGCAGGGGCACGAACCCAAGACCGACAGGTCCAGAATCGAGCGCCCTAACCACTATGGCACCACCGGCCTTCGCGGACTCATTGCCATGGTGCTGACGGATTCTACTTGACTGCAGCAACCAGCAGAATTCCGCCCGATATGTTTGCTTTTGAAATAGATCGGTCAGCTCGCCTCGTCGCGCTGTGCTTTCTGTACCTCTGGCGACGACAGTGGATACATGTAGGCGCTTAGAGAGTCCTGTCGATTTCGCCTTTCTTTCGTCGGGGAAATATTCAGCCGTAAGTCGGATGATGGCCACGTGGGAGCGTGCGCGTGGGAGCGGCCACGTGGGAGCCGTGCGCGCCCCCAACCACTATCCGTTTCGTCCCATGCCCGGCTGAAACTGCATCATGATGCGCGTTCGCGGGACACTTTCTGCTCCATGTAGCCGCATTTGATTTGCGAGAACGTCGGCTGCACCAGGCGGTGGATCTCGCGCCTCAGAATGAACGATATCTGGGCAGAGGCGCGCACCCGGCCGGCTTTGGCTGCCGCTTGTTCGCCAATCAGGCTGCCGGGGTCCCGTCAGGGTGCTGATCTCTGGCGGTGGTGGTAGTAGGGGGGGGGGGGGGGGGGGGGGGGCTGTGTACGAAAGGGATAGCCATTCGTCACATCCTGGGACGGGCTCAGGAACGCGAACAAGATTAAGTTGCCCGTCATCTTAACAAAGGTTATAAGGCATTACCATTTCGGTGGGTGATGGGCTTGCGAAATGGCGTGACCGAGACAACTTAATCAAGCGCCGAGAGGATGCAAAATATCGTGGCATAGAACGGACACGACTTGGAACAGCCCATGTGCCAGCCCAGGCTGCACTGGGTTGGATGGGTTATGACACTTGGCGTTCGTCTGCCACGCAGGCGGGCAGATTTCGGTCAGGTATGCTCGGAGCGGCCCTCAAATCTTGCGTAGCTGCGTGGCCTTGGCCCGGAAAGCATGGTTGCACGCTGCAAGGAGTAGGGTCAGCTGTACATTTGGCGCAGCTGGCGGGCGCCGGAGGGACGTCGGGCCCCACCGCACCCCACCTGTAGTCGCGGCGATGGCTGGCGCCTCCGCTCGCCTCGCGCATGGCACGCGCACAGCACTATCCTGTATCACCTGCGGCTGGCGCCCGGCCGAGGGTGGGAATGGCCGGCCGGGCACGCGGGCGGCACTTCCGCGCCAGGAGCCCCGTTGACATAGCATGGAGACTCCGAGTCTGGCTGCGCTTGGCGCTTGGCGCCTGGCGCCTGGTGCCTGGCGCCTGGTACTCGGCACGGCTGATGTGCGAGCTTTCGTGTGCTGTTTGTTTAATAACGCTGAATTGGCACCCTCTTTCGAATTAAAGGTGCTTGAAGAACGCCATGGGTGTGAGATGGCTCCCATCCTTGCCAACACAATATTTTTAGAACGATTTTGATGGCAGCTGGCGGGCTCTGCAGGTCCGATGCTGGTTGCGTCCCTTGCCGCTCCTCGGTGCTCGCTCCCCTTTGTTCCACACCTGAGTGCACGGAAAGCGGACAATAGTTCGGAGCGGGTTGGCTCAAGTCGCTATGGCACAGGGTAATTGGAAGCAGTACCCGTGGTCAAAGTCAATGAACAAATATTGATCACAAGACGCACTCATTTGCCTCGTTTATGAACGCGCCCTGCTTTGAGTGTTGGTGAATCTGTGCTTATGTTGCAAGGTCGGAATTTCTCCAAAATCTGTCGGCAAATCAGGTTCTAAGTCCAGCCACGTCGCCGTACACCATCGGTTAAGGATACAAATGCACCTGGACTCATAACATGCGCTCGGGTGGAGAATAAATGTGAATCCCCGGAAAAATGGTTGCAGAATGTTTTTCGAACGGCGCGGCGTAGCCGTGCGAAAATTTTGCATAGCTGTGGACAGTTGAATAGCAGGTGGTTTGGTATAAAAAAATGTAGATATACCATGTAAAGCCATTGACCTACGGCAGGTCAAAGTCAGGTCATGGACTGAGCGAACACAATTTTCTGGAGGAAATTGGTCGCTGACCGAAAATAGTTCAGGTCAACATTTTGTGTTAAAAACATACTGCCTAGCGTAAACTTTGACGCTTATTCCAATGCAAAAATCAGAGCAGTCTTGTATGTTTTGGGTCACCATGACCTTCGGAAGGTCACACAACGTCACTGACCTTAAATGGGCACTAGTCACCTTTTGCTCAGAATAGGCATCTAGGTTCGCAGCGGTTGCATGAGAAGGTATGGGTGGGGGGGGGGGGGGGGGGCGGGCACCTTGGTTACTAATCTGAAATTTGACTTTTAGACCTTATTTGACCCGAAGGTCATGACCCAGAAACCTGAAATTTTGAGACAAGTGAATTCACGCGCGGTCCAACATACCCTGTGCATATGACCATCTAGCTCTCATTTTCTGAGGTCTCAGGGGCGTCTATTGACCCACCCCCACCCCCACTCCACCCGAGTGAAGGTTATTTATTCAACCGCCCTCCCCTTTTCTTCTTTCCCCCCCCCCATCTGTGCGTGTTAAGCTCGTACTCAGCAGTCGAGAGAGAGAGAGAGAGAGAGAGAGAGAGAGAGAGAGGAGAGCGAGAGAGAGAGAGAGAGGAACGGAGAGGAGAGAGAGAGAGAGCGGAGCGGAGACGGAGGACGGAGACGGAGACGGAGACGGAGACGGAGACGGAGGACGGAGACGGAAGACGGAGACGGAGACGGAGACGGAGACGGAGACGGAGACGGACGACGGAGACGAGAGACCACGTCGGCGGGCTGTCGTCTCCCGGCGTGGTTCTCGTCCGCCGAGCCCGCACCCGCCGGCTGGCCCCTGATGGCCTCCGCTCGGACAGTGATGAACGCTGCTGATGCGTCGGTCCGGTTGCAGCAAATGCTGGGTACAGCTGAACGCCGTCAGGGACGGAGCTGGCAGGGTGCGGCGGCCTCCTGAGGTTGCCATACGAGCGGTCTGAATCACAGGTACCAGTTGGCGCGGGGGTCCGGACCGCGGGCCGCCAGCCGCGACACTCAGTCTCCCAGTCCAGGGCAGAAGGCGAGCGCTCAGACTGAACAAGCAAAGCTACGGAGGCTTTGCACGCCGAGACATTGAAGCTCTTCTCGTCGTTGTGTGGTGGGGCAAGCGCTCCACGCCCTCTTCGCTTATCTTGCATGCATGTCTGGTTAGTATCCAATGAGAATCGGCGTTAGCTACGTGCGTAAACAAATAAGCAAACACTGTTTCGAAACCGCCAAAATGGGCTAGATGCATTAGCACCCTGCACTGCTAGGAGTCTTGGTCCGCGTTTCACTTATTTGTTGGAAGCATAGATGCATAGACAAATGCACGTTTCGTGAAAGGGCCTGAGGAGCGGCAGATTTAGCATGAACACGTCTGACGCATGAAGTGAATCGGTAGTGTGGTTCTATTTTGGCGAGATACGACGCACGACGCATCAGATCTGACATCACCAATATTCCACAACCGGCGACGCGATATAGTCTGTCGCAAGGGGCTTCCATGCGTCGATAAAATCGTTTCGGTTCGCAGGTTCCAGAGGCATCACAGCATTTTTTGAAATGTGCGCTTGAATGTAGATCGTTCATTTTCGTGAGGAGGATACGCTATAGGTGGCGGCCGACGTGTTTGGTGTACATTGGAATAGCTTTGCTGTTGGTCATTGGTTCTGTTGATATATCCGGTTTAACACCGGCATAGGACGGCTAATGGGGATTCCTTTCGACGGCGTGGACGTGTCACGGACGAGTTAATTAGTGCACGTGATGGGGGAATACATTTGGGGGCTCCTTGCCGTCCGTCATAAAATATTGCACCGTGTGCGCCCTATGCCATGACCGAGTCGTTAACGGGTGCATGCCATTCCTGATGTATTTTCAGCACACAGCAGAAGAGAGCCACGAGAGCCACATCAAGCGTTTGCTTTCAGAATGTTGCAGAAGATCGCCGGGTGTTATCGTCGCCACAGTCAAACGTGTTCTGCAAGTATGATGTTAATCCCTTGTTTGCCATGTTCCTGGCAGGCCAATAATGCAGGGGTAGGCCGGAGATTGCTCACGTCAGCGCCGAACCGCCTGAAACCGGTTCAGACCCGATCCCGTCGCATTGCGGATTAGTGTTCTCGTATCGCATTGCAACGGCTCGCTGCCATGGCCAGCCCCACTAGGCTGTCGCCGGGGACCTTGTCGGGAGCGGGATCCCCGGAGAATCGTGCACGCTGACCAACAGGAAACGTCTTTGGATTAATGCTACGTGTCCGAATCCTGTATATTTGGACCATTTCCCTGCAAAATGTCCCAGTGACTAATGCAAACGTCTTAGCTCAGGGAGTAAAGCACACGCCCCCCTCCCCTTGTGCTATGTCCCAGGGTATCACAACTCCCCATTTTTGACTGATGAAAATAAACGTGTTAGCGCGCCGTAGACGTGCGTTGTTTGCTCTGTTTTATAACGTGGCACGCTTTCAATCTGTTTTATAACGTGGCACGTCTTCAGTCTGATTATTTGTTCGTGTCTCCGTCGCTTTTTAACTTTGGTCATTTAGTTACGTGCATTTTAGCGCATGTAAGAACTTAATCAGGGTAAGGATGGGCACGTGCCGCCGGTGCCCCACCTCCTTTGAATACGCCGCTGCTCGTGGTACATTGAGTTTGGTGTGTGTTTCTTCACGACTCATTCAGGTTTGCTGAAAGGTTGGACGTCCGATGTGCGCGCCCGGAACAGCTCAAACGTTTAATTTCACATTGCACGATGCATCTACGCTATACAACACAAGCCGATGTGTGCCTGACCTCAGCTTCATGGACCGTCGCCGGACACGGTGATACTGCGGCGCCCAGGGGTGCAGCCGTCCCCAGAAACGTGACCCGGCCGTGTGACCCTCGTCCGGAGGGCCCGCGACCGCGCGGTATTGATCGCGCTTAGATGCCGTCCTGGCGTCCCGCCCGCCCTGACCCGGTGACCGCCAGCGCCGCTATTCAGCACCGCCGGCGGATCATGTACCGCTGCACCAGGGCGCAGTCGAGAGTGTGGTTCGCCGCCCTCGCCCGCCAGCGAGATATGTGGTCGCGCCGGGCTGCGTTGAAAAGCGCTCCGTTCGATGATCCGGCTTCCCCTCTGTCCGCTGCGTATTCATGCATCTTTGGTGTAGGCGGACGCGTGCTCAGTGATGACGTTTGTGGTGTGTAGCGACGATGGACGCCGCAGTGTACGCCTGCAGTCAGTGTCCCCTTGGGCAAGTGGCATCCATCGCGGGCTGCAACGGGAATGCCCTTGTCTTCGAGTTCGTTGTGAAAGGTCGGCGGGTGAACGTGACCTGGCGCCTGGTCCTGGTGACAGTGATGTTTATGTTGGGCGGTGGCCGTGATGCTGATGATGGGCGGCAGTAGAGATGTTGACGGTGGCCGGTGGCAGTGACGCTGATGCTGGACATGTCCTCCACCCCCAGACTGTCACGCTGGCCGTGTATACTTTCTTCATGGCGGAGCTGATGGGTCGGCAGTTCGTGGACACCACAGACTCCATCGACCTGTACGTCCCTATATTCACATTCCTGCAGGTAATGCGCCTGCTGTCGCTAGTGTATGCGTCTGATATTTTTTAACTGCATGTGTGTACACTGATACGAACGATAGCATTTATATCAATCGTGGCTGATCTCAACAGTCATTGTAATCTGTAAATGGCAAATGGTTGACAGAACAAACAGAGGCACCGGTGAGGAGCGTGCCTGGTTTTGTGAGCATTCATCTCGCAGCAAACAGATGCAACAGAATGTTGGTTCCGGGTGCTCATGTATACTGTACGCCGTGCACTGGCGACCCGATGTGGTGTGCACCGTAGTTTTTGGTTATGACGCAGCGAGGACCGGCTGCCTCTGACGGACCGCTGTCGATAAGGGCGCTACTTTCGATCATTGTTTGCGTTGAAGACGGAGAGAAATGATCTGGGTCACAAACAGATTCGGATCTTGTCACAGCGATCGGTGGGCAGATGTTGTTTCAGCAATGCATGACGCCTGGGAGACGGTGGTTAGTGCGCCGGGGGGAGATGCCGCTGACGCGCGCAGTCCGTGGGAACCGGCATGAACGCGCCGGCTGCTCCGTCGTTGCAGTGCACCCCGGGAGACAGCTGGGCATGGCGCGCCAGAGACGCTGCGTCCCGGTTTCGAGTTGTGTATCCGCTGCTGCCTTTTCCAGTTCTTTTTCTACATGGGCTGGCTCCGAGTGGCGGAGACGCTCTTCAATCCCTTCGGCGACGACGACGACGATTTCGAGATCAACTGGATGATCGACCGAAATTTGCAAGTACGTCTGGCGAAGCGCAATCGGGAGATGACGTCACAAATAGCTGGGGACGCACACTTTAACGGGACATTAATTATCTTTCTTTATTGTAATGATAAATATCTCTACACGTAAATGGATTAAATTCGCTGGCACATGCTCATACCAATCCAGGGTATATTCGGAGCGATCCGGACGACAAAAATATTGCGTTATGATGTCATCGATGCCGTCATACCCCCCCCCCCCCCCCCCCAAGGGATTGTGTGCCTTCTGGTATGAGCAGCGACCCGATCGACAAATATTCTGTTAAGCAATGCGAAATATTTGACGCATGTAATCTTTTTTTCCGTAACCGGGTCAACGTCGGCGCAGTAGGCTGATTGGTGACCAGGTTAGTGCAACTATAAAACTGATCACGGATGAAGAGGCGGCGTGTCATGCGTCACAGACAGCGCAACTTGCAGCTCTTACGGTTTTGGGCACGCGTAAGGCATGCGCCAAGCATGCTGTCTAAAATGCGCAACTATTGTCACGAATATTACGACAGTGCTAACAGAAACCGCGTCACGGCGTTGTCACGTCAGCGGCCGTCGCGTCACATTGGCCGCTCCGTCAGAGCTCGCGGCGTCTGGCCGGCCTGTCTTGTCCTCACTGATGGCCGGTTCATGGCGCCGCTGCTGTGCCCCTCTCGTGCCGCCGGCGCTGCATGAGACCGGAGAGCACTGACGTCATGTTCACTGTAGCGTGGTTTCAGACCCGGTGCGCACTGATGTGACGTTCACGACAGTGTGGTCTGAGACCCGGTGTTCACTGCTGTCACGCTCGCGACAGCGTGGTCCGAGACCCGGTGTTCACTGATGTCACGTTCTCGAAAACGAGGTCTCGGACCCGGTACGCACTGATATCACGTTCACGACAGCGAGGTCTCAGACTTGATTTGTTCCCCCCCCCCCCCCCCCATTTTCGTTCTATTCCTTGCCAAGTGTCATCGACGGTGACTTGGCATAGCCAGTGGCCTATTCAGCTTTACAGAATGTCTACCTGTCACACATGGCCACTGGTCGTTTTGCATCAGTTTGACATTGGGCTCAGCTCGCGAGTTCTGGAAAACCGTATGTCATCGCCTGTTGTGGTGCTGCATGCACGGCTTAACTGGATCGATTGCGTGCCAGCCGCGTCGTAGGTGAGTCCTGGGTGACAGCTGACCATGCGCTGCATCTCTCAGCCGTGATGCGCCGGCGCGCGGCATCAACCGGGGCCGGCGACAACTCTGTGTTGTCAGCATCACACGGCGACGTCTGCAGGTGCCGCCGTGTCACGCGCGCCGCGCCTGCCGTCGCGACGCTCCTCACGGACCCCTGGCGCCGCCGCCAGGTGTCGTACATCATCGTGGACGAGATGCACGAGGATCACCCGGACCTGGTGCGGGACCAGTATTGGGAGGACGTGATCCCGGCCGAGCTGCCCTACACGGTGGCGTCCGAGCAGTACCGGCGCGACCCGCCGCAGGGCAGCGCCGCGCAGGTCGAGGTGAGTCCCGTCCGGGCCGCGGCGGCGGCAACTGTCGCGGTGTTGGTGGCGCCGACGGCGGGCTGGCGACGGCGGCGGGAGCGCTCAGCCGACTCGGCCCTGCCCGGCCCGGTGCCGCTTCATCTGGACAAGGCGTGCGGGCGTCAGGCGCCTCGCTTGCTTCCTTGACACGTGATGTGGGCAGGGTCAGGTTGTCGCACGCCTCCTGCCGCGCTCTCAGCTAGTGGTCCGCTCGCTGGTTTGCGCCTTGGTCACGCCGTTGCAGCTTGCTCTGATTTCGGGTCGAGAGAAGTGTGCCCGATGGCGGTGACCTTGGTCCCCGTTTGCATAACGCCGTTTGGTGTTCGATCGACTGAGGTGCGACGCGGGTGGGGCCTGTATGGAGCGACTTCAGATTTACTCCCTGGGATTTTTCGTTCGGTAGAGATCTACGCTGAATTTGCTTGGTTATGTGGCGTGTCGTCCTTGTTTTTATTTGACGTGCGTCTGTTGGTATGGCGGATGCACATTTGTTAGTCATATGCATATCCTGGTTTTTGTTTGAGTTGGGTCGATGAAAATGATGGATACATATTTGCTACGATGGTGTAACCAATGTAACTTGTATTTGTGTGGGCATCCGCTGGGGGTCGCCCATTGCTCCGGGCCACGGGAGTCAGCTGGTGTGGGTTGATTTGAACTCGGGTCACCTCGAAGGGTGGGGCCCGCACCTTTTTGCGAAGGCAGTGATGACCGGGCGGACGCCGGAGCGCTGACGCCGTCTCCTGCGGCCTTCTCCAAATTGCACATGGGCCCGGCGCGCGAGGCAGGAATCGCCGCCGAGATGCAATGTTCAGCTGGACGGTGGCGGTGGTGATGCTCTTCATGGGCCATGGATATGGAGGTCTCGTCGCCATTATTGTATCGACTCGTCAAGAATGTGGTAGAAAATCGCTTAAATAAATCTCAGCGGTTATTGGACCATTTAGTACGATAAAGGTACATTTGTCTTAAAGCGCTGCCAATGTAACTTCGACGAAGAGGCTATAGGTCCAAAAGCGCAAAAGGGCCCCAAACTTTTCAGGAGCCAGCCATATTACGCGCAGCGCCGTAAACTCCGCCGGCGAGGTTTTAGTATTGCACTCGTGGCAGTTTGAAGTTGCTCGAGGAAACCACAGGATAGCCACTGAGCCATCCCTCTCTTCTTGCGGACGCTGCGGCTGTGATTTTGAGAGAAGTTTATGTTTTTTTTCGGTGCTACCACGGAACCAACTCCAAGGTAGTCAATCTAGCATTGCGTTCAGTTTCCTGTGTTGGAACTTAAAGTTGACTTAAAGGTGTCCGATGGCGCCTCACGAACTGGACTCGGCCTGCCCGAAGTCTAACTAATGTGAATGGATTAGTACTCCCCCGCCAGCGTTTGTGTTTTGAAATGAAGCGCATCGCACCTCGTCGCGTTATTTTCGAGGAACGCCGGCCAAGCGACCGTGGCGCAACCGGATTCGAGCCCGGGCCCCACGTAAGATCCAAAGTGACCGTCTTCGGCCCGCTCCAGGTGAAGAACACGCAGATCTCGTTGCCGGACCCCGTGACGCAGAGCGTGCAAGACCTGGATGTGAAGCAGGTGGAGCTGATGGGCATGCCCAACGACGTGGAGATGGCGCAGGTGAGGGTGGCGGCGGCGGGCTCGGGCCGGCTGCGGCACTGAGTGGCTTCCACTTCACCGGCCGCCCCAGGCAGACTTCCCGCCATCGAGCTGGTAATCCGTGCTGTGGTTCGAGCGGCAATGGGGTGCGTTGTAGCTCAAAACATCCCAGACAGACGACGAGGGTTACCGCAATTTTTCTTCAAGTTGGTAGTGCTTTAATCACTAGCGGTGCACACATGGGCTGTCTCACTAGCGCAATGCCCGCTCGCATGCTAAAGAAATGGCGGCTGTTCTATCCAAGGCCTCTGTCCTCCAAGGCGTTGGGCCAGAGCTGACAGAGTTGGTGCCGCAGGGCTCTCTGCCGGGCGACACCGTTCCGCCAGTAGTCACCTCTGCCGTGGAGATCCGGCCGGGCGCCTCGAGCGAGACGCAAGAGCTGCTGCCGCGCACCGTGGTCGGCTCGATCCCTGCCTCCATCGACTCGCGTGCCTCGGGGCCGCTCGTGTCCGGTTCCATCAAGCGCTCCGTGATGGGTTTGGTGAACAAGTTCAGCAGCCGAGTGCGAGGTGAGTCCCCCCCCTTCCCTCTCCCCACCCTACTCCCACCCCCACCCGCCCGAGGCGGCGGGGCTGAACTAATCGCTCGCTGCTGGCACCTTCGTTGTTGGTGTCAGGTGTGTGCCAACGTGGCCGGTGGAACTTGTAATGACTTTTCCGACACAAAGTTGCGTTGGACGCCTGCGTATGGTGACTACCCGCCGTGGAATTGTTTTCGAGTCGCTTCTTCCCACACGGCTCACGTTAAGTGCTCATGGACTCTAAGAAGTATGTAAGTGGCATGGCTGCGGGCATGCTGACGTCAGCTAGTCTGGGAGCGCGACAGTCACGCTTCCACAACTTAACCTCGGACCACTCGCTTCTCAGCACGTTATCTCCGACCAGTTGTGTGCTCCCTGACCGGCACCATAAGCGCTCGACACTCTCATGCCAGTGACGCCTCTGTCACCGACCGTGTCTGCGCGTCCTCAGACGTGCCGAGTGGCGTCCCGGGCGGGCCGCGGTCGTCCAGCATCGTGCGCGCCGTCAGTCGCACCTCGACCGACTCGAAGCAGACGCAGCCGCCGCAGTCGCCGGCGCCGGGCGCCGAGGTCGGTCCGGCCGCCCAGGCGATGTTGCGGATGTAAAGGCTGAGCGTTGCGGCGCCGGACGCGGACACGGTCTGAGAGTCTGTGGGCGGGGACGGCGGACTGAGGGAGCGTACGACGACCGTGCTCGGGCTTATGGCCGTGTGCTCTTGCCGTCTATTGCACGTGCAATGCATACATGGCACATACCCTTCCCGTAACCACATGTTCAGAAGTTCTCTCGGTGCAGCCGGCGCGCCGACCTGACCGAGTACCTGGGACAGTAGGTAGTCGGTGGGGGAGCGACCGTCTTCGACAGGCGTTTTTTTCCATACACCTGCGTAGAGATGTGAGTTTTCCAGACTGGAGCCGGAGTAAATGCTTCCCCTCCCCCCCCCCCCCCCCCCACCAAGACCCATTGCCACGATACCGATTCGGCCGTGCTGTCCCCCCTCCCATCCTTGCTTTACCAGACCTTCGTCTGGTATGTAGGCTTGGCCTGTCGTGTGTTGCCCGGACGCCATCTCGGCCTCTGACGCTGTGTGGCTCCCGCAGCCGGACGAGATATTTATGATGTCGGATCTGGACCTGCCGAGCGCCGTGGCCAGCGGCGTCGACACCGGTGTCGGCGGTAGCGGCGTCGGCGGCCGTGGCAGCGTCGGCGGCGGTAGTGGTGTCGGCGTCGGCGGTGGCGGCGGTAGCGGTGTCGGCGTCGGCAGCGGTAGCGGCGTCGGCGTCGGCGCCGTTAGCAGTGTCGGCGTCGGCGGCAGCGACAGCCTGGTCGCGGGCCGCGCCGGCAGTGCCTCGCTCGAGAGCGTGGTGCAGCTGCTGCCGCCAGGGATCGACCGAAAGTCGAGCGCCGCGGGCTCGGACTTGTCGGTGCACCGCTCCTCCATCGGCGATGCGTTCGTGCGGCCGGGCACCCCTGGCAGCGAGGGAAAGTCCGGGCCCAAGTTCGTTCCGGGCGACTACAACTTCATGATCACCACCGTGGATGAGGAGGGCGAGGACGAGACGGAGCTGGTGAGTCCCTACCGCGCGTTTTGCGGTGATGGACGCGGAGCGCTGGGCGCCCCACACGTGCGAGATGTGGTGCACGGATGGACAGCCCTACACGCAAGCTGCGACATGCGCGCGGCGATTGTGTAGATGTGCAAGCACCTAAACAATCACCAGCCGAGAACGTGTTGTTTTTACGTTGCCATGCCGTTAAACGAGTGGGCACTGGAAATACAACCACACTCACTCGTGGGTACAGTTGTATGCGTAGGCTGTTCACATTCGTTTAACGCTTCATTTACGTGAGTTCGTTACTCGTTTGTCTGGTGAGGCTTTGCAAGCTCACCCTGCGCCGCCCTCACGCCCTGTGCCGCCCGCGTGAATGGCTGCTCCCGCGGCGCCGGGCCCGCGCGCTGTGCCGCCCTCACGCCCTGTGCCGCTCTCACGCCCTGTGCCGTCCTCACGCCCTGTGCCGCCCTCACGCCCTGTGCCGCCCGCGTGAATGGCTGCTCCCGCGACGCCGGGCTCGCGCGCTGTGCCGCCCTCACGCCCTGTGCCGCCCTCACGCCCTGTGCCGCCCTCACGCTCCTGCCGCCCACGTGAATGGCTGCTCCCGCGACGCCGGGCTCGCGCGCTGTGCCGCCCTCACTCTCTGTGCTGACGCCTCGCCGGCGGTGCTGTCTGCAGGTTGACGTCTTGCCGAACGGTGCTGTCGGGCAGGACCCGGCCGCGCTGGCTCCGCCGCCCGTGAATGTGACCTCTCCCGTCAGCCTGGCTGATGTGCTCAGCACCAGCTTCCAGCCAGGTGTGTGGCACGCCAGCCTGCGCACCAGATGTCGGCCCGCTGACGTCTTATCTGGCCTGGTCTGGTCTGGTCTGGCCGAGTGGGGTGCGACTCTGTCTCCACCCTGCGGTGTCATCTCTCGCGTGCTCCCGTCTGGTGTGTTCTGCATCGGCGTTTGTTGCGCCAGTCCGTGCTCCTCCGCTGCCGTGAGTGTTCGGCTCTTGACCGTTGGCGCGGTCGCCGCAGGGGATGAGAAGGCACCTGCCGAGGGACAGCAGTCCCTGCTCAGTCAGCTCCTAACCACCATCATCGAGGCGGCCGGCGGCGTCGTCCAGGCCCGGTGAGCCTCAGTGGCGCGGCGCCGCCGCGTGATCGTCGGATGACGCGCTGACCGGCGTCACCGGGGCGGCCGCTCAAGTGCGGCGGCCGCGGGAGCCCGCGGAGCGCTGCTGTTTTTTTCTCGCCGTCCCTAAGGGCTACTTCTGCGTGATGAAATGTGCGAGCAGTGCCGACACTTGATTGGGGTTTGACTTGTGGCCGTTTCGTCAAGGATTGGAGTTATAGTCTGTAAGCTGTTGATCTGCCCGCACTCGATGAACTTTTGTTACTTAGAGGTCTGTTCAGTTTATTGACGACGATCCTTAGTTGCCGAGAGAGCATTGCTTGGTCATGGGATATTTCTTGAGAAGCCTGACCGTGCCACCCGTGGTGGTGGTCGGAATAATGCTCCACTTAGCTCAATAACGATACTGATCAAACACTTAGCGTCATATCTGCTCTGATGCGTTTGTGTGGCATTTGTCGGGCTTGCAAATGTCCTTCGGTGTTATTTTTGGGTCGTCAATGCGCTGCTTACCTGTGTTGATATTCCGTTCCTTAGGACGTCGGCGTCGCAGGACGCAGGCGGGTAAGCGGAGGCCTCAGAACCGAATTAAGCTCTCAGAATTTACATTCCTTAGGTTTTCCGTAGTTCTCTCCCGCATCTCCTCATTGATATCCGGACATTTTTGCACTGTAACATGGGTGCATTTTCATCAACCCTGTGAACCGACCCAGCATCTTTTTACCTGAGTAGTGCTGTTTCCTCGTCCGTTTGCGTGCATTGCGTGTATAGGAAGAAGGGAATGCTTGTCGACCGCGATAGCGTTTCATTTGTGTTCTCATGTCCCAATGCGCCTACCTCGTTGTCCAAGGAAATGTTTGTGTGTTTAGAATAGTTTATTTGCCAATCATAGGGACCAGTCCCCACTGTGTCATAAACACCCTTGCATCCGTCGGCGACCGTCGCCGGCGCCTCTGGGCGGTGATTGGTAAAAAACACAAGACTGGGTGGTTCGGTTTACGCTCGCCGTCGGTGATTGGTCGGCGGCGACGTCGTTGGACTAGGACTTGTACGCTGACACGGACCCTGTGTGGACCCGGCTCCGGTCTATCGGGCCTGAAACTTGCATCCCCGCATCCGTTACAGCCATTGAGTTGTATTTTGAGCATACACTGAACACGTGTTTAGTGCGTAGACTTCGGTTGATAGTTTTTCTTTTAGCTGGAACGTGGGTGGCGATTACATACTGTCTGTGACGCTGGTACAACAGACCCATTGGCCTGGCTAGCGCATGAGTTCACCAGCCTCAGACTGGCAGGACATGAGTGGGACTAGCAAGCATTTGGTAACTTAACCAGACATTGACCTGTCAACAGCCAGACAGCGCGCGTACCTTACACGCATATAGTTTATTAAAGAGTCCTAACGGCTGATAAAAGTCGTCTCAACTGTAATCAGTGTCACTGCATGTTGGTCATTAATGAGCGAGCGGTGTTGCGAGCGGTCTGCGCCTTGCTAATCAGGTATGGCGAACCAACCAGGATAAGTTCGGCACGGTCCGGGCTCCGAATGGATTAGTCTTTTCGAAACACTGGTCAGTGTCAATTTGCTAATTGATTCATAGTATTTTGAATGTGAGTGCTCGGCATTTACTCGGAGTGCTCGGCTCGGCATTACAAAGGCCGCCATGGGCTGCCGTTAGTCATGTTATTTTGTGTATTACCACTAGTCGCTTACTTGATAGTTCTTTATGCGTATTGAAAATGTTTGGGCACTGTTCCTTCTGACAGCCAAACGCGTCGTGCAACTTTCACTAATTGTCGTTCAAGTGCTGTCGGCCGTCATGTGACAGCCAGACCTAATGTCTTTGACGTGACACTATGGTCGGGTTTTGCGTATCTTTGACCATTCCTAGCACTCAGGCCTTGCGTTTGATCCTGTATACCTGTCATGCCATCCTTGCATGGTCAGTGTGTGGGCCGGGCGGCTGGTCAGCACAATAGTAACAATACAATACACCCGGAAACTCGGTATTGCTGGCACCTTCGTGACCAACTAAGTTTAACCTGTAACCCGTCCGAGTCCTTACAAAGCAGCAGTGGATCACTAAATACTTGACTCATAAATAATCCAACAACAAAAAATGAGCACAGGCCGAAGTAGTACGAAAGCATTGCTTTCTCTTTAAGATTGTATTTACATGGTTTGGATTCGCCTCGCTGTACACATCGTGCAAAGAATATGACGGCGTTAAAGAATCCAGTATCCAGGACAATGCAGGACAGGACTAGTTCCTGGCTGGAGTATCGCTCAATCTGGGGCTGTCGGTCGTCTCCCAGCCGGTGCGTCAGCTGCACCTCATCACAAAGCAGCCACTGACCGCCTCGCTGACCGACTGCTCACCCCCAGGGCCGACAGTCCCACGGCAGCGCCGGACGAGCCTGCCGAGCCGGCGCAGCCCGCGGAGGCGGCGCAGCCCGCGGAGACGGCGCAGCCCGCGGAGCCGGCGCAGCCCGCCGAGACGGCCGGCGACGAGGCGGACGCCACGCGGCGCGCGCAGTTCACAGCGCATTCGGCGGGCGCGCTGCAGCCGCCGCGGCCTCCGCTGGAGCCGGATCTACCGCCGATCGACACTACCAGCGCGCCGGCCCGCCTCGCCATGCCGGCAGGCGTCGACGCTCCGGCCGGCGTCGACACGCCAGCCGGCCTTGACGCGCCAGCCAGCCTCGACGCACCGGCCGGCCTCGACGCACCGGCCAGCCTCGACGCACCGGCCGGCCCCGACGCACCGGCCGGCCCCGACGCGCTGGCCGGCCATGACATGTCGTCCAGCGACCCTGATGATGACGGGTTGGAGGAGAAGGTGCTGGATGTGCATACCATGCCACTGCCTGCCGCCGGCGCCGCCCCGCCACCGTCCCTGCAGGTGGAGCCGGCGGCCCCGGACCCGGTCCGCCTGTCGGCGCCTGCCGCGGAGGCGTGGCCGTCCACCGCGCCAGCGGAGGAGCCCGGGGCGCGGCTGGCGCCGGACCAGCCGGACGCGGCGAGGCGCGCGATGTCGGCGGCGCCGGTGCCGGCCGCCACGCCGGGAGAGGCCTCGCCGCCGACGCCGCCGACGTTGCCGCGGTTGCCGGCCATGCCGGAGGCGCGCCGCCGTCAGCTGTCGGGCGAGCCGGCCACCGACAGCGACACGGACGCGGCCGAATCATCCACGGCGCCGCTGCTGCCCGACCGGACGCGCGCCGACCGGGTTAACGCGTCCTCGTCGGACGAGGACGCGGCGTCGCTAGCGCCTGACCAAGAGCCGCGGTTCTACTGAGCGGCGAGCGACGCAGAAGGGTGATGCCAGGGTGGCGCTGGTGCTGTACCTGCCTGTGCGCTTGGAAGGGGATTAAAGGCCTTCGAATGTCGTTCGTCATCGATGCTTACGGGTGCGTTGATACCGTGTTTATCATCAGCATATTTGTCCACTTAGTGGCATTCGTGGACAACACGATCAGTGGTCCCAGACTGCCAGTGCCAGCTGGGCGTGTTTGGTGGGTACTCCCCGCGGTCAGTCGCATTGCCGGACGGCTACTAAAACTGTCCTGGGTGGGCGCTGCGCCGCTTCGCCCCGTTCTTCATCCGGCACTCATGGTCGTTTCAACGGTGTCGGCCGACTTCCTCGTCCGACACGCGTGCCCCGTCCAAGCTCCGCTTCTGAACTTAAGGCTGCGTGTGGCGGGCACCGGCGGCGGAGTGAGGTGGTGACGGGACCGTAACGTGAATTGTGATGGGCGCGGTGACGTTTTTCTCTTCAGGACGTTCACGTTGATCTAGCGCGCCTTGGAAGACTCGGTGGAGGCTCGTCCTCCCGGCGCGGTCGCCGTCGATCACCCTGCCTTGTGTTGGTCTGTCTCGCGCTAGCAGTGACCGTGTCTTGCAGTCGCATGCCAGTTCCGGTGCCGGTGTTGGAAGGATGTTTTGTGACGCGTCACCGCCAATCTGTGCCACGCCGCCGGGCTCGCTCGCGCCGGCGGCGCAGCAGACCAGCGTCCCAGCGACGCCGTTATTTTGTTTGGTGCCTGCTCTTGTATCTGTCCGCAGCCCCCGGCTCGGTGCAGAGCTGTAGTGCCGCAAGCACTGGTCACCAGAAATACACCAACCGACTTTGGTGTATTGGCTTTTTACCGTTGTCGCCGGTTGGGTAATTTTGTAGCTGTTTGGGGTTTCCCCAAATCAGCCATTGTTTCAAAATGAGTTTCCAAAACATTTTTGTATTCCACTAAATGTTTGCCTGTCAATCCTGTCAAGGTCCAGCGAGCTAAGAGAATTGTGAGTGCCCTGCATTTCGGTCAAAGCTATGCGTCATTAAGCTGCTCAACGTACTTGTTGAGGCTGGGGTCCCTGAGGCCCCAGTACCCAAGCAATCCGCCTCACGATCCCACAGTTTTCTGGCCTGTTGTCTTGTATGGCGCCCTAGAACAACTACTTTGTCCCACTCCAGTTGCCATGCATCAAAATGGACTTTCAAGTGACGTCAGTATTTTGCTAGGCATGTTGCGTCAAAATCTTTCCTTTGGGGACGTGATTATTAGCTATGAACGATCCGAAGCGGGAGTCGGAAGGTGCGGGCCGTGATCATGCTCGTCCGTATACGGGCTCACGCAGATGGATCTCCGACTGAAACAACGGCGAACCTCCGATAATGTTGACAGCGGCAGCATTAGCTTGATAATGAATCCGGGGTGAAGCAGTCTCTTAGCAATTAGACGTATTGAAAAGATGGAACGCGGGCAGAGACACATGTTTATTATTTATTTATTGTTATATTTATTGTTAGATTTATTGTTTAATCGTTTATTGTATCGCCTGGCTCGGTCAGCGACTCTTGACCGGCCGTCTTCGAAACACGCCGAAGCGATCCAGCGCCCCGTGGCTTGCTGCGCAATGCGGTAAGTTCGAGCGTTAGTGGTGGGTGAGGCATCTTCGGCAGCGTGGGCCGCTGGCAAAGTCGGTAAAAGTGGCCACCTGAGCAGGCCATTTGCCAAGAGACGGAGGACTATGTAGAGTGATAAGCACACGAACGAATCGAGCAGCCACAATCACGGGAGAGTTCTGGCTGAGCTACCAACACCAATTTTTCGTGGTATCAGGTCTACGTGGACACCGAAGGCTCCGTCGCCGTCAAAAACTGGGGGCTGCGTGTTTGCAAGTTTAAGGCATCGTTTCACAAACCGCAGACGTAATGTTTCGTTCCACAGGACTTCACAGAGAGTGTTTCACTTGTGCATGAAATTTTGGAATGAAAAGGCTATCTTGAAGATCATTTGGTGCAGTTCACAGCCCTGCCCATCTCTAAGACCTAAACCCTTCTAGTTTGTTAGCCACACGCCTGCGAACATATGCAGGCGATTTTTGGAAGGATATCTCAAGGTCACCCAGGTAACCGTGACGCCTTAGCAACGTTATTCAAATATCGCTATTTTATTGGCCATACCGCCATCGAAGCCCAGAAAAATATAAAAGTCGAGTCGTTAATATCCGGCATTCGTGAGCACGATTTCCAGATAAAACAGCCACAAATTGGTTCCGAATCAATGCTCTGCGGGATATGATGACATGATCAAACAATGACATGTTGAGAAGCGTGTTTACTTAACAGGTAAACTTAATTATCTAGAGCAGCGTTTACCACTTATAAGTATATCAATAGTTATAAGTGAGCTTATCTCAAAATGCCTAATATTTGCTTCAGCATGTTTCCATGCGGAGCATTCCCTTTTTAAGACCACTTGTCCCCTTCCTCTCCTCCTACGTGGTATAGCCCATGAACGACCATGCAATTTGCCCAACGTCTCTTAACATTGCATGAATGTGAATATATCTTCTAAGCTTCGAATGGTCCGTTGCGACATGCTCAACATGTCGCTGCGGGTCCACGGAGCCAAGCACCACCCATATTTCGGTTCCTCGCCTACACAACAGAAGGTAGCGATGGCGATGCCTCTGCACGGAGCAGTTGTGCTATGAAATTTCTGCTGGCCAGTTTCCACCGCGAGAAGACGCATACTTGTACGTTTGGCACACGGCCAACACTCATTCGTCAAATCATTCAGCACGCCTTCCGTACGCAGCGGAAGGCGTGCTGAGCGGAGCACGGCGATAATCTGCACCAACCAAAATTTCGCGTTTGAAGCTCGGAGAAGGACGTCCTCGGCCAAGATCACGATCATTATTTCGGCCTTTACAGCCTGGCTGCAGTTGCAGTTGGCTACCCAGCGCTCACAAGCTCCAAGTGGTTTTGCCGCGGCTAGTATTTCACGATCGCGGTGGCCGGGTGCGTCGATCTAAGACCTCTGCATCGCCGGGATGCGGTGAGACGGCGCGTGCTGGCGAACTTGGACAGGGGAAGGCTGGACGCATCGATCGCGCGAGCGAGCTGGATAACACCGGCTGGAACCGGTTACCATGGCCTGAGACATGGCTGCAGCCAGCCGACTGCCGCCGATCGTTCATGGCACGACGCGAAAAGCCTGGCAGCAGCCTGGCTGCGGCTGCCGTGTGTCCCGTGTGCGGGCACGTCCCGGGATCTGTCTGGGCTGGGCCGGCGGGCGGAGACAGGTGGCAGATGTTTTCCCTGCGGCGAGTCTCCGGTTGTCAGGGCTTGGCCCTCACGGCCCGGCTGTAGACGCATCGATTCTCCTGCATCGCGCCGTCAGTGAGTCGTCATCAACGCCGCGCTGCAGGGGATCGATCCACCCTTTCTAATGCGGGCTTACGTGCCATGTCATGGCAAGAAATGAGCGGCCCCACATTACAGCAGACATGATTAGGACTTAATTACATTGTATGTTATGCAGTTTGCGTTACAGACTGGGAGACAATGCTTCGCTCCATATGTTCCTTGAAAAGGTCGCTTTGGAGGCACTGATGCTGGGCGGGTTGACTTTGGCTACACGACAATGTTCAAAGTGAGCACAGGTGATTCATACTAAAGGAAAGATGATGTTGAGATGGAGAAAGGAGGACCACAACCTAACCAGCACTGAATGTTTTAGTCTCGGGTGACAAACTTGCTAAAGAAATTCATACCTGGGCGAGAGCGCCATCAGACCCAGAATGCGTTAGAAATGGCCCTCGCGAAGTTAGTCTTTGTATTTAGAATGTCCTAGGGGATAATAAGTATTTGTCAAGCGCATACATGAGCTTAAGAAAGACACATGTGCATCTGCAGGGTAGTTATCTAATTATTGTTGCGAGTCAGATCACCTGGGATGATGCGATGTAGTTCCTACTATGTGCAGGCACACGATATTCAGAAACAATGCATTCATACCATTCTAAGGGTGTGTGCTGAGGGGCGGGCCAATAGACGAGCACTGGCACTGACAGCGTAGGCGTCTCAGCGGGTCCTAGAGTATTGGGGTAGATTCCTGATTCGTAGACGGTGCCTTGGCCAACACAGTGTTGGTTATTTTACGTCTTGATGAGGCCGTGATGCCGAGATCTAATACCAGTCCTGAAAACAAAATATTTAAAAAAAAGCGCCGAATCCGTGGTATTCGCGCCAGCTCGGAGATGTACGCCTTGATTCGTATTTGTCACTACGCTTCCCCGCCCTGTTGCCAAGTCAAATTCTGTTGATTTCGTTTTGCTATGGCCCCCACTGCCGGGATGGGAAACGCGTTCCGCTAACCCGAGTACACTTTACTGAATGATTCGTAATTTCGAAATATCGACAAAATCTCAGTACCGCACCACGAACGATGACGCCGCAGCAGGCGTTACAACGCGTTACAACCACGACGACCGGTTGGGGTAGGAATGGGGAGGTGAATAATTCCTTTTCACATAAAGGGTAAATCCTGGTTGTAGGCCAAGCAGAATAGTCACTGTGTCTCCACCCGGGGCAGCACCATGCAGCAGTGCTTCTGCGGGAGTCGGCAGGCACGCATCAGCGAGTCACCCTGGTCGGGCCGCTTCCTCCAGCGGTATACGTAAAGATACGCTGTGGCCACACGTCACATCTGTCGTCCCTCCGCGGGCTGCACCCCTGTTGGACGCCGCGGTGCCGGCCGTCCATGCCCTCATGGAAACGGCAGCAAACAGTGCAGCGACTCTCAGGCATGCTGCACACCGCTGATGGCGGTCAAGTTGAAATGGTCAACGTCTCCTCCTCGTCAAAAGACAATGTCTTGGCAGGCGGGCTGCCCACCGATGGGCGCAGACACTGCGTAATCCCTCAGGCACGTCGCAACGGCGCCGGTGTTTGTCCGTGGGCCTAGCTTCCGCGCAGGTGACCGGTTGCACGTGGTCAACTGGACTGTCCTGCGCCTCGCCGGTCGTGATAAGATCGTGGACCCCTGGCCTCACCTGGCGCAGCATGAGCTGGGGGAGGGGAGGGGGGCGCTCTAGGAGCCGGCGGTGCCTGTAGTGAATGCAGGCAACCGTCTACATCTCCGCCAAAAATAAACCGCCATACGAGTGGGTGTAAATCATCACAATGCAAATTGTCCCATTGAATCTGAATGTATTTTATTTGCTAACACAGATGCCGTCACTGGGTTTTAACGACGCTCTCAGCTGCTGAGGCCATATGGAATCGCCTGCCTCTCGCCCCGGCCGGAACTGCGGATACCGCAGAGAATCGAACCCCGTACGCCTGGTTCCCCATATGTGTAAGCGGCTAACACAGACGCGCTAACCATGGCACTATCCGCACCCTTGTAACACAAATGCAGAAACACAGAAACACACATGCTGCTTAGAAAGTACATCAGTTCCACATGATGTTTTCTCGCGCGCTTCCTTACGCGATGAGAAGCAATAGGTCCTCAGTCGCGTTTGAAAATTACGAAGCTTGTGCTTTGTTACATCTCAACAGGAATCCATTCTTCCTCAGAATTTCAGCGGTAAGGCTTGGCTTTCGAATCGATATCGACTAGATGTGATTCTGATAACAACAGCCCGGTGGCTGAACCCTTTTTTCTAGCTTAACCCTATCGACGTTATGCAAGCTTACATAAGACATGCATCTGAGAAAAAATTAACAACGAGCGGCATGTGCCATGTACAATTTGAGCCATTTCCAAGGTCATGGTCATGTACCATCTGGTCATGCTATGCACCATTTGGACCGCATTTGAGTATTAGTTATCGACGAGGTCGCAAGCCTAGCGGGTCATAGCGTCAACTGGCCGGAAATTGTATACCTTCAATGTCCCAACCCGGTCAAAAGCGCTTTCAACGGGCTGCTGTCTGCAACCACCGATCACACCACCACAGCAAATGTACAATGCATCTTTGATGCACGTATATGAATATGTATATATACATATGTATATATATATATATATATATATATATATATATATATATACATATATATATACATATATATATATATATACACATATATAAACCTAATGGTAAGTACATTTGCAAAATACCACTGAAATGATCCCCAGAACGAGGTCATAGATCGTCAATCACATACAAATCGGACTTCCAAGTTTCACATGCGTGAAAAGGATTTCACCTCATCTAGACCAGATTTAAACACCGTCCTGTACAGTTAATCTTGTCGTTTTCCAAAAAACGACTTTTCAGCTTTATATGCTTGCATGTACGAGGCCATGCCACCTAGTGACACGAAACCTAAATTTTCATGTTTCTTGTTCGATTCTGAGAACGACGGCATATAGCTCTATGTGCTTTGGCCAGATATGTGTGATGCATGGCTCTGTTAAAACCGCTCGGGCGGCCGGCTGGATACCCTTTGCTCGAGGGAGTCAATTTGACCCCAAGAGAGCTAGAAACACCCAACTTACAGGGTGTGTTGACCTGTACGTGGACCTACTTAGGTCAAAGTTTGAGGCTCCTAGGTCATGACCTTTGGGTCAAATCAGGCCAAACAAGGTCAAGCTCCAGTTTAGTCTCCAAAGGGCCCATTGAGTCTAGATAACTGTTCTGAGCAAAAGGTCACGTGCTCATTTAAGGTCAGTGGCTTTTCTTGACGTTTTGAAAGTCATGGTGACTAAAATCATACAAAACTGCGTTGAGTTTTGCATTTGAATAAGCAACAAAGATTAAGCTAGGCAGCATGTTCCTAAAACACAGTGTTGAACTGGGTCATTTTAGGTCAGTGACCTATTCTGACATTTAAGAAGCTCATGAAAGGTGTGTAATACGGTGTCTGTTATCAATGAGTTCAAAATGAGCACGAGAAACTATCCCATACAGCAATCCCTGGAGCAATAAAGCAGGTTGGTTTTGACTCTGGTCTGACCTTCATACCTGACCTTAGGTCAATGTAATTTGTTCATTAAACTGTTGTGTTAACTATGAAAGTATCTTAGAGATGTATGGCCTCGTCTAACACCCCGTTGTTAGATCAAACTGAACGATTCCCTAGAAATTGCCTTCGCTGAAACCATGACCTGGCTTTGACCTGCCATAGGCCAGTAGCCTTACAAGGTACACCTAAATTTTTGATGCCAGATGCAAGATCCGCTATTCAATTTTGTACAGCTATGCAAAAGTTGGCACGGCTACACTGCGCCGTTCGGTAATCACCCCGGAAAGACCTTCCGGGGGTCAATTTGACTCCTATCCGAGCGCGTGCTAGTACAACAATGCTGGCCCGCCGCGCGCGTTGCGCGGTATCGTCGATTGTCGCCCATTGTCCCCTCAGATCGTAGATCGCCGTGCAGTGTGCCTCAAAAACCGCCGCTGTTGTACCCTACTGATGATACACGTAATGAGTTAATAACGGACCACGTGCTCACGGCGGCCCCCCCCCCCCCTTGAATACAACGCTGCCCTATAGGCTCCCTTTAAAGAGGCCCTTTTTGTTTAGGAGGCCCCCTGGAAAATGCTACCCCTAACTCAGAATCTGTGGCGCCGCCCCTGCTCGTTGCTCCCCTTGGGATCGTCCCTGGGTCAAGACAGCATCCATACACGCGCCTATATGTGCCGTTGTTCTCCAGACTCCGCCACAGCTCTTCCGACAAATGATCCATGCACTCGCCATGGACCCCTGCGCACACCTTGCACGCCCGCGCATTGCTGGTGGCCAGCTGAGAGAGGGGAGGGCTCCTCGGCGGCGACCTGGCGCCTGACCTCGGGCCAAGGCGTCTGGTCACGTGACCCAGCCTGGCCCCGGGCTGCGGGGCCGCGTCGGACCGTCTCTGCAGCAGTCTTAGCCGGCCGCTGCGCGGGGCGGTCATGCCGCTTATCGAGTCGCCCAGCCGTGGCTCCAGCGGCAGCTACCACGTCCAGCGGGCGGAGCGGCGCCAGCTGGGCGCGGTGAGTGCAGGCCGACCTCGGCGCCGCTGGCAGCGGCCCTGCCTGATCTGCCCAACGATATTTGGTGCGCCTTAATTTGCGACAAACGGTAGTGCACTAAGAAGACCGCGTGAACTGCGCCTCATCGGGCATGGCAACCTGCTCGCGGCGTCTATTTTTTCCATCTGGTGCCCGTCGTCTCTGGTCGCCAGCCGCCGTGCCACAGCTCAGCTTGCCAGCTGGTAAACCCTCGCCCGCCATTCGCAGGCTCGCAGTAACGTCTCTGGTGGCGCCACCTCAGAACCCGACTCAGGACAGCGGCGTGTGCACCCTCGCTGGTAGGCTTCCGTCGGGCCCCACTGCCCGTGTGTTTCTCCGTGCTCGTATCTGTGTACAAAGGCCTGTCTGCCATCGGCTCGGCTTCTTCTCTATTTGCGTGTCCGCTGAACATCCGCTCACGCGTCAGGGTCTGTAGGTGGTTCGCATAAGTGTGGATGTGTCTGTTTTCCTGTAGTTTTCTTGACGTATATGCAAATGTGCGTGCATTTCAGCCAATACGCCTTTAAACGAGTGCATACTCTCATGTATGGCTCGGCGCTCAGGAATCCGTGTGCCATTGTGGTTGTTAAACCAGACGCAAGCTGCCTGAAGGCACGTCTGTGCGCGTTACGTCTGTGCGCGCGCGCCGTGGTCGCTGGGGAGTCTGGTCTGGTGACCCTGGTGCGCCCGCAGGGTATGTCAGTCCCTGGCAACCGACCGGTCGGCAAGCGTACCCTCTGTCGCGGACGGGTCCACCCCCGGCTCGGACGTGTTTGTCCAGGCCAAGTCTGAGAAGAAAGCAAGGTCAGTGATCGCCGGCTGGTGTGGAAGCGGGAAATCACTGGACTCGCATGAGTCCGGTCCACACATCTGACCATCTGGAACTCAGACTGTAGCCCAGATTCGAGATGACCCCAGCATCAAAATGCGCATCAGATTTCAGATAACTCTAGTCATCACACTATACCTAAGATTCCACATTTGTCCCAATATCGTAAAATGACAGCTGCAGATGACTCCACCATGACCAAATGACACCACAGGTTCCAGATGACGCCTCACCCTGTGACGGGCCAGCATCTGATCATGCCACCGGGCAGGAGGCGGAGCGTGAGCAGAACTTCCCGCTCAGCACAGCCTGGTGAGTGGTCGCCATGCAAGTCGTGCTGATCTCTGCTGATGTCTGTTTACGTCTGTTGAGCTCTGATTATTTTTGTTGCATCTTTCCTTCTCGATTGACTCGCCTTACACCATACTGCCTCTTCTAACACTCCTGGACACCTGTTCTAACACTGAGATGGTCTTGTCTGATCCTTACGGACCACTCCGCACATTCTGCGGCGTGTTTACTTTGCCAGAGCATCCCCGGCATTGCCTGACCTGATCTGACCACTAACTTCTCTTTTCATCTCTGCATACTTCTGCCGATCTCTGCCAGCCTTAGCTAGTTTTATGACATATGCCGACCTGTACCGACCTAGGCCGGCCTATGCTGGCCTCCTCCGACCCCTTCCAGCCTCTTCCGACCTTCACTGGCCTCTGATGACCTCTTATGACTTCTGCCGAACTCTACAGAACTCCTCTGAACTCTGCTGAATTCTGTTAATCTTTGTTAATCTCTGTAAACTTTTGCCGACCTCTGTCGAATCTTGATGAGATCTGATGACGTCTACTGACCATTGCCCACCTTTGCTGGACTCTTCCGAACTCTACTGACCACTTTAAACCACTTCTGAGCTCTGCAGAACTCTACCAAGCTCTGCTGATCTCCCTTAACCTCTCTTGGCCTCTCTTGGCCTCTCTTTTTCATTCGTTGGGCTATATCGTGTCCACGTCAATACGTGATAGCACAGCACAATCTCCACGATGTGTCCCCAATACATGATAGTTAAAACGTACGTGGGAAAACACTTTCAATTAATCATATCCACACTATAAGAGCAAAGATGATGCGAGAGAATGTAAGGCTGGCATATATCACCTGAACCCCGCCCGTCGAGCAACGCGACGCAAGTCTGCTATCTTACTTGCAATGACAGACTTTTCCGAGCGCTCACGGCCAGGTGGAAAGAGATATGACGGTCGAGTTCTGTTCGCACTCTGGGCAGCAGGACGACTCTTGCTGACCTCTGCTGACCTCTGCTGACTGGCAGAGGAGCGAGAGGGCAACCAGTCGCTGGTGTCTGAAAACGCTCGGCAGGCTGAACGCAATCGCCGCATCTGCTGCGGCCTGCTCATCCTGTTGGCCACGCTCGTGCTGGTGGCCATCTGTGTTGGCGTTCTCGTCACAGAATGTGAGTGGTGGTGCGATGCTCAGAGACAGATAGTTTCGTTTTGAAATGGTTCACAGGGGTGTCCCTTTTTAAAATCGGTTTGGGGGCTGAGCCAATGAAGTTGAGCTAACGTGCCCCCAAATCCTGATTTCTCCCCGGAATTCACCCACTTTAATTTGCGTCCTTGATGGAAAGACGAAGGTTAAAAAAATGGTCGGGTAAAAAAGAAGAATTCAAAGGATGAACTTCCATTTTAAACCGATCTGGTGGTGATGTGTGATGGTGATGTTGTCATTACCAGTAATGCGTTAAGGTTCCTCGCGTACCACCAATTCGACACTTGCTGCATTTTATTGGCCCGGTGTTCTCTCTTTTGTCCATACGAATAGGGATGGGGGTGGAGTGTGTGGTCAGAGGCACTGAGCAGGCTCAATTCAGCACGAGGGGGGATTAGAATCAGGCCCCTGAAAGAATACAAAGTGACACTCATGCCAGTGACTCGCCTTGCCGAAAATGTGACATTAAAAACGGCCTTTAAGTGAAGCAGCACGGGGTGAAGGTGCTTTCCTCTGTTATGATGTCTCATTTACATGTCATATACAGTGGATTTGGATTCCGTATGTGAGGTTGTCCAGTTGCTGTGTAGTTCTGACTAAATTCAGACCATTTGCATCGAATTACTTCGAGTTTAGGGATCGTTTAGTCCGGAGATGGGTGAAAGCGTGCGGTACGATTTAGCTTCGAGCCTGATGTTGATATGGCATTCCAGTAAAACGAAAAAGCGCGTCTCACCGAACCTCGACGACTGACGCCGAGCACCTGAAAACCGGCGCTGCCATCAACCCGCCACCTGGCGACACATCGCCACTGCCATCTACCGACCAAGTGGTACACTTCCCGCTCCCGTCCGCCGCGACGACCACTGAGAGCCCGGAGACGCACAAAACGACTGCTGACAAGTCACCGATTGCAACTGGAGGACCGACGACGCACCAAATGGTTGACGATGCGTTGAAGGTAGCCACAAGTGGTCGCGAAGCAGTGGCTAACCAGCGCGCGGGCGGCGCGACCTCCGCGACCGCCGGGGGTCCGCTGTACGCGCCCGAGGTGACCACCGGGGGGACCAGCGAGCGGACCACGACTGGCGTCGACCACCGGCCGGTGGGCGGCTGGGTGCCCGGCGACACTGACATCCCTCTGATGTCCAGCAGACCGCCCTGGCTACTTCCGCAGGCGACGGCCGACCAGCGGCGGTCTCACTCGCCAGCCGCCAATGAGAACCGCGATGCCATACTAATAGCCGATCAAAAACGCGGCGATGCGCCGTCAACCAGTGGGAAACATAGCGATGCATTTACAGCCAATCAGAGCCATGCCCACAACCGCACAGCCAATCAAACCTTCGACGATGCCCCGGAAGCCAATCAGCAACAGCCGCCGAGTAACGCGACGACCAGCCCGGCGGCAGGAGGCACGGAGCGCACGGAGCGGGACACAGAACGGCGCGGGCCTGAGGTCACTCGGCTCCTGGCCGGCCCGGAGCTGTCCCCCAGCATCGGTCGGCCGGCTACCATCGATGGGCCTGTTGCTGTCAAGGACGATGGGCTGCACCTGCCCGGACTGCCGGTTGCCGCTGTGGCTTACAGCTCGGAGCCCGATTGGCTGCCGCTGCACTTGCGCCCGCCAGCGCAGATGTTGGGCGACGTGGTGGCGCCTAAAAGCCGGAGGGGTGAGTGTCGCTTTGAAGAGAAGTTCATTAGTAATGCTGTCAAACATGCCACTGGCTGCACCCGTTCTGGCGTTGCGTAAATCAGTGTTGTATGCCTTTTTTACCACACTTTTGCGGGACTTCCGGTGCTCCAGCCCTGAAATTGCCGTGTTGCGTTTTGTGGGCTTTTGTCATGCACAGATCCCATTTTCAGCTGCATATTTACCTGCGAGGTCTCTTCTTCAACGCCGCGGTGTCTGCGTCGCGCCCCATTCGGTCAGGTGCTGTTGCGTGGCTCCCCGCTGCTGAGCGCCGTCAGCCCCTCAGTGGTGCCCACTCAGACCGCCTGCTGCAGGCGCCTCCTGCTTCGGCCCGCGCTCCATGGTCTGCCCCGGCCAACCGAACCTGTGCGCCGTGCGCTGCGACAGCGTCGTCGAATGCGCCGACATTTCGGACGAGCGGAACTGCGCATGCGCAGACCGGCTGGCGCCCAGTCTGCAGTGCGATGGTTACTTCGATTGCCCCGACGAGAGCGACGAGTCTGCATGCGACGGTGGGTGGCGAATTCCTTCCCTCCCTGTGATATGCACACCAAGCGTGGTCTGTGTGGAGAGCACGGTGTCCTCGGCTGGCTCCCTTGTGGCTAGTGGCTTGAGTTTGGATTCCTTTTGACGTCTTGTTTGTTCCATGTTAAATTGTGGTGACAACCTTTAGATGTCCATTTTAGACATTTGGGCGGCTACGTCTCGCCGTTCTGAAACCATCGCGGAAAAACCTTTGAGGGGTCAATTTGACCCCCACCCGAGAGCGTGTTAAGATTAATTTAAGGGTTTTGGCTAGCCGACCGGACTTCGTTGGTGTAGACGGTTGTTGCAATAACAAAGATTCTTTATTCTCATGTTTTTTTCCCGAGGAATAAGGCTAATGCTACTGTCTTATTCATGTGTTTATTGTAAGGTCTCACGAAATCAATGGGTAAAAGAATGCGTTTTTTGACGCTGCATAGTTGATTTAGGTTATACGTCGATTTCGCCCACGAAATGAGGAATAGCGAAACCCATAATTTTGCTTCTGGGATTATCATATATTTATAAAAATACAAAAAAACGGCTCCACTGAACCTCACCGATGGCAACTTGTGATATAGCCTGTCACCCAGCCCATGTCCGAATCTGTAACTGAGTGTTTGACCTAACTGATGGCCTAACTCATGACCTTCTGATGACCTTCCCCATCAACTACCCACGATATTTCCCGTGAACCTTGATCTTGACCTTGCACGTGAAATAACGGGTGTCAGCCTGTTGCGTAACTTTCCACGGAACCCGTTATCTGAGCCGTCACCTAACCCACGAACTGAAGACCAACCGATGTCTTACTGCCGACCTCATCCGTGGCTGAAATGATAGCCCAACTGGTGATCTGGCCATTGATCAGCGGTATGATCTGAAACCTTGTCCGAGACCTGACGTGCGTGCTACCCGACCACTTAGCTATGACCTGAGCGGTAGCCCAAGCTCTGACCTGACCTGGACCTCGCTCTGACCTGGCCCTGACCTGGATCTGACCTGGCTCTGACCTGGCTCTGACCTGGCTCTGACCTGGCTCTGACCTGGCTCTGACCTGACTCTGACCTGGCTCTGACCTGGCTCTGACCTGGCCCTGACCTGGCCCTGACCTGGCCCTGACCTGGCCCTGACCTGGCCCTGACCTGGCCCTGACCTGGCTCTGACCTGACTCTGACCTGATCCGGCCGGCAGGCTGCGCCGTGGACGAGTTCTCGTGCTCGTCCCATCCAGAGCTGGGGGGACGCTGCGTGCCACGCCGACTGCGCTGTGACGGCAAGGAGGACTGTACCAACGGCCGAGATGAGCAGGCCTGCCTCCATCTCAGCAGTGACGTCACGCCTCGACAGGTGACGGTTAGCCGTCACAATCGACATGTGACGTTGCACTGCAACGCACCGTAATGTGACGTCACAGTTAAGGATGTCATGTCCCGTCGAAGTGTGCAACGTCACGCTCTGGCACGTGACGCCATATTCAGGCAGTCGGCACCACATTCAACAGGTGATATCGCGCCCAAACACGCAATATGTGCAACACGCCTGATGTGATGTCGCAGCTGCCGTTGACGTCACATGGTTTCGTCATGTTGCATGTCACATCACATCACATCATAAGCTGCGTGCACACATGATTACGTTGATAACACTATAGATAGTGCGCTTAAGGTGCAACCAACGGGTTTTTGGCAATATCTGTCGGTCGCCAGGCGTAGGGGGCGTGCGATGGCAGGATACACATATGGCCACGGCATTGCAGTAGGGGTCGTTACCAAAAAACCGTGAGATTCGCCAGAATTGGATTTCGGGGGAGACTGGCTGACACTCAAATTTATGCCGGGGGATTCGCTGGTATTAGGGCTAAAGGGAAGCTCTCAGGAGGGGGGGGGGGGGGGGGCGATAGCATCGTTCATATATGCCACATTCCTGAAGAGAACGCTTATGAAATACCATGTTTAATGCACGTGATATTTACTCATAAGAAAGATGACGATTTGAGCTTGCACGCATCACACATCGGGGCATGTATCACGCTCTCATAATCAACCATGACTAGCCATGTACGTTTGGGCTTGGTCGCCGGCACTTTATAAGAACAGATTTACTTATCTTCCTGCCTGGGTGGAAAATCACCACGGGCAATATGCCTTGACATGTGATGCGTGCTACCTTCAAATCGTTCACATGTATGAGTGATGCCTTACACGTGCCTGTGATGTGATGCCTGTGTAATTGAAATCGTTTGCATGCATAATTGATGCGTGATACGTGATCCCTGTTTTCTTGAACTCGCTTGTATTTTTGAATGGAGCGTGATGTGTGACGCCTGTTTACTTGCATCCGTTTCCATGCACACATGTCCCTATCCACATCCTTGCAGGTGTACCCCCTGGTGGTCAACTACGGATTCATGCATCGTCAAATATCCGGCAAATGGCTTCCTGTATGCTACAACGGCCAAGACATGCAGCTCTACGCCATTGAAGTTTGCGAGCAGATTGTCGGGAGGTACACCATGTGAGTATTGTGTCCATTTCGGAAAAGAATTTACGGGATTAATACCGAATAAAATCACGTCAGTTTTTAACAAGCATGTGATCCATACGAATTTCATGAGGTGCGTTGGCAACTGCCTTTAATATCTCAAACGCCAAACATATGTTGTTTCCAATGCTACGGGAACATGGCTCGTGCGACAGCTTGATAGGCATCGCAATTGTTTTGCCTGAGGTAGAAACACTGGATGGTTGACGCTGCAGCAGATTGTAGGCCACTTATCTGGAAAAACCAATGCGATGCAGTGAATGTGAGCACGGTCGTTTTCCAAATGTCTGTAGTTGCGTATGTATTGTTACGACAATGCCCTGGGTCGCCTTGCTAAAGGACTGCATTGCCAAGTTTAGTGCGGCGCACTGCATCCGGTGAAATGTCGCCCACCATGTCTTGTCCGCTCGGGGAAAGAGCTGCTCCGCAGCCTTGCACCATCACCTGTAAGGCACGCCGTTGCGTTGCGCACGTTTGCCTCTTGGTGTGCTGCCATTAACACTCAGTCGTGGATGGATCCGTAAACATTGATGTGCAAGCCAATCCAACTTTTTTGCACAATCTGTATGCCTAAAACTTTATTTTACGATACTGAAAGTCCCAGCCATCTGGATGGAGGAGGGGGGGGGGGGGGGGCAGTCCCAAAGCACGCAATGACAGCATGTTCCCGCTACGCTCCAGTACCGCAGTCTGCAGTGACCGAGTCATCCCACGGCGTTTCAGTGATCACCAGTAACCTAGCACGCCTTCGCTGCTCTAGTGATCACCTTTGCGCGAGTGCCCCACGTGGCTGCAGTGCCACCACAGTGCCCCGGCCAATGCCCTCAGCGCTGTTCTTTGCCGCAGCGGCACGGCTTCGTCCGGGCCGCGCACGTACCGGCCGGGCTACGACGGACCGTTCGCCGAGCTGGGCGGGACGTTCTCCGAGGTGGCCGGGTGCCGGACCGGCTCGGCCGTGTTCGTCAAGTGCCCGCCGCCAGAGTGTGGCCACAGCGCGGGGCAGCAGACCTCCGGCAGGTCACGGGAGCCGCGCAGCCAGGTCAGCCAGCTCACAAAGGTCACGAATCAGGCTGAAGCGCTCACGCTGAGGCCTTACCAACGGCCCTTAGATGATCCTGATGTGAGGGGCCTTTCAATAACTCCCGCGTCACGGACGGGCTCTGGAATCCCATCTCGTTTTTCTTGATTTGGATCTAAAAAACAACTATCGCCGTTGACAACACGCGCCTTGGTCATGTGCCCAGTAGTTTCAAACTGATGAAACCCTTAGGGATTAAACCGTTGGAAAAGCTTACAAGTTTTTTTGTCCGGTTGCGACCCGCGGGTAGATAATGCTGACTCAGAAAAGCAGCTTCTCGATCTAAATAAATCTAAACCAAGTAAAATATCCATAATTTCCTCATAATTTACGCCAAGGCTTACTTTTATCGCAACAAAATATTTGCAGAAACTTGACAGTGTAAATAAAAAAATTGTTGCAGAAAGACACTGAAAGTTCGTGAACTGCTCTCAGAAAGACGCTACCGAAAACAAATCCCGAGCAGTTTTTGTCGTTCTTAATGCATGCCTCTAAGCCATGAGTTTTTGGCGGCCACAATCACTTTTTGTCAGCAAAGTGACCGCAGCTATCGATCACCACTATGGTACACACATATGCACAAATACGCAACACAACTGTTAGCAATACACAACTTTCGTCCTCACAACGCTCAAAACTTACCACTTATGCCATTTTTAGTCCTCCAACCATGAGATAAGGTCTCAAAACGTTAGAATGTACAGAGGTAGACGATCATGCAAGTGATTTTGTTTGAATAATCTTTTGTCTCATCGATACTGCTACGCCCAGAGCTCTGGCCGTCAAACGAAACGCCAAGGAGTCTATTAATGCGGAATCGGCAGCCGCTTTCAATGGAACATGCTAAAAGGAAGATATTCTGCCAAGACAGTAATTATTATATATTATACATATATGTGTGTATTTATATATTTATTATATATATATATATATATATATATATAATTTTCCGAACAGCTATACATACTTTACGTGACACTGATCCGAGCACTGTCGTTGATCGTGGGATTGTACATACCTTACATGACACCGATCCGAGTACTGTCGTTGATCGTGGGATTGTACATACTTTACGTGACACCGATCCGAGTACTGTCGTTACTCGTGGGATTGCATCACGCAACAATTTTCAGCATCCATGCAGAAAGCGTGGCACTAGACTACCAAGCTATATGCATTGTCTCAGGCAGCCTTCTGTCAAACGCATTCGGGTAACAGACCAGACCATCAAATAGCTCACTGGCGCAGCGATCTTAATATTTAGTTGACTAGGCCAGGATGTACTTTTGGAGATGTGCCCACATCAAATCGTCGTAAGAACAGGGGTCATCCCCCATTGTTCTTGGAGAATGGAGCATTTCCTGATCAGTTAAGAGCATCAAAATGCAACTTTGACAAGATAAGTTGTGAATCGCTTTTAGAAGTTCTGACTTCATGCGAAAAAGGTCCATGGATTACAAAGGGGGTTGATGGCAGAGGGGGCGACCCCCGCAACTTTGGCAAAGAGAAACTAGTCCCATGGCCTTGCACGGAAAGAAACTGTTTGGATACCAACTTTTCTCATAATCCTTAAGGGCTTTCGCCGCTAGCACAGTTATGCAGTTTGCTGGCATAATCCTCGTTCTCAAGCATGTGCAATGACATAAGGGTGGTAAAGCGGTCCGCCGGGACGCATTCTCGGCTCTGTGTGTGTACATACTTTTGGCCAACACATGCATGCACGTCCTACACATTGGCTCGCGTGAGAGACAAGAAATGACGAAGGTGTGAAGTGGTAACATAATTTACATTAACACGGCCCGTGACCTTCGCGAATCCAAGCGACGGCGAGATCATGTGGGGCCAAATGTAGCGGTGAGCAGGGATGGCTTGCCAATGAACACAAACTCGGATTCCGCGGCCTGTCACGCCCTCCTCCCACAGCCGGAGTGGTTGGCCGCCGCTGAGACCCGTCTGACCGTGGGGCAAGAGCTGACCTTCGACGCGGCCGACTTCGACCTGCAGACTCCGCCGCCGCCGCCGAGGCTGCCGCCGCCGCCCGCGGACATACCGGAGGACGTGGAGGTGTTCCAGCCGGTCGTGAGGCGGGGGCACCGCGGCGAGCGGCCGCCGGGGCCGGCGGCACGCGACCACGACGGTCGGATCGTGGGCGGCGCTCGCAGCGCGCCCGGCCGCTGGCCCTGGCTGGTGGCCATCTACAGGGACGGCGTGTTCAGCTGCGGCGGCAGCGTGCTCACCGCCCGCTGGGTGTTGTCGGCCGCCCACTGCTTCCAGAGGTGGGCACCCATCGCTGTCACAGGCTGAGATCACTACGACAAGGGGTGAAAGCAGATGGCTCCGGCGCTGAGAACACCGCGTTAAAGTGTGAAAGCATGCAGCTCCGGACGCTGAGAACACTGCGCAGAGGAGTGGTAGTACATAGCTCCGGGCGCTAAGAACACTGCGTGGAGGAGTAATAGCACGCGGTTGCGGGAACAGAGGGGGGGGGGGGGGCTCATTACTTTGAGCCTTGGTGAAACATCGCTTCGATGTGAGAACTTCCCGGCTTAAGATGCAGGCACACAGCGCTTCCGGATTGAGAATTTGCTGCTCAGGGGTCGGAAACACGAGCTCGGGAGCCAGATACACTCCTTGCAGTGGTGGGAGCTCTGCCCGTGGGGATGAAAAACGTGTTTCAGTCACTACGAACACCGTTTCCATGGACGAGAACATTGCCATGTTTCAAAGGCAGCGAGCTGCTCCTGGTGGTCAAGACTAAGACCAATGCTTTGGATGGTGGGGACACCATTATGAGAGGAGAGGACTCTGCTTTCAGTTGTGAAATCGCTTGGCGTGGTGAAAGCGCTCCACTGTCATCCTCCAGCTGTCGATGGAGGGCAGCAGCGTTTCGATGAGCGAAAGCTGTAAGCATCAACATTCTGATATCTGCCATCGTGCTTACAAACTTTACAAGATTTTCATGACTGAGTCGCTGAGAACGTTGGTGTTTTCAGGTTCGAGAGATACCGGTACGAGATTCAGGCTGGCATGCTTCGCAGGCAGAGCTTCGCTCCATACGAACAGTCTCGCTTCGCAAGTCACATCATCATCCATCCGGACTACAACAGGTACCGGATCAGGCTAAAACGACGCTTTCTTATCAGCAAAACAAGGCCTTAAGACATACGTATTACATCGACAGTTGTCAGTGTTTGATATACTAGGCGGTATTGGCTAAACGACGTTATCAATAAACATTGCCTATATAGTCCAAATTAACAGTATAAGCTGTGTTTATCCGTGATAGAAATGCAGCAAGCTCCTCACCGTGCAATGAAGGTTGATATCTGTTAGTTGACAACTAACTCATAAAACAACGATCCTCTTTGCATTATTACGCCCCTTGGAAGGAGACAGACGACAAGAAACCTTGGAGTGTGTGTTGAATTGTCTTACCCTCTTGCAACACTTTCTTGCGTGGTAGCACGGTTTAAGGCGGTGGTCTTTTCAGTGTTGATTGTACATGACACATAATCGGAATGCAATGGGATCTTTATTTAAGGACGCGGCACTGACGCTCTCTTACGCTGCAAGCTGATGACCACTACTTAAAAATACAATCGTTTGCGTGATAAAAGTGTGTATATTAGAACATTGCGATCACCGCACCAAGACCCAGCAATGCTTTCATTGTCACGGCTTTCTCTGCATGGCTTCCACGTCACCGCGTCTCGTTATGGCTTCGTCATGCCGGGGCCGCAGGCGGATCTACTCGAACGACCTAGCGTTGGTGCGGCTGTCGCGGCCGCTGGCGCTGACCCAGTGGAGCGCGCCCGCCTGCCTGCCCGAGGCCACCGACGTCCTGGCGCCGGGCACGCGCTGCACGGTGGTCGGCTGGGGCCAAGTCGATCAGGGCGGCCCCGAGGGTAGGTGACTGTCGATAGGAACGGCACCAAAGGTGAGTGACGGCCAACCAGGTCAGCTGGGACAGGCCGGAGGGTAGGTGGCGCACTCCACATGGTGGCAGACTCCTCCGGGTGATGCACGCGGCGAGGCAATGTGCACAATGCACGAAGCCGCAGCGCACCCACGCCAGAGGAGCATGGTGGATGAATGGCATTCGAACAGCTATTTTGGGTGATGCCAAGTCATCGTCTGAACCGTAGGGGGCAACGGGGATTTAGCTGTAGCGATTCCTTGGATATCAAGAAACCCCATCACATGCCCTGAGATGAAAGACGGCAGGTGATTGTGGACCAGACCAGCCAGGGATATCCTGGGTGTAGGTGACTATAGTCAGGCATTAGCGACAGAATGGTGCTCACTAAGCCTCATCTCATATTTTGTTCTATAGAAGTGTCTGTCTTTGCTGCATGCGAACGTTCGCTGTGAAATGCCATGTGTCTGCCGCGTGTCTGCGACGTGTCTGCGGCGTATCTGCCGCGTGTCTGCCGCGTGGCTGCCGTGTGTCTGCCGTGTGAATGGAAAGTTTAGGTTCGGCTTCCACTATTCGAGACTTTCACGGCTGGTTTTCCTTCACAGCGGTGAGCGGTAACACTAATGACCGTCGCTGTTACAAGCGTTAATAAACAGGCCAGGAGCAACTAAAAGGACATTTATGAGATCGCAAATGTGTCACTCAGCTTCTGTTTGCACATTGGATGCTCAGGGATTGCGCCACGCTGATGTTCGGTGCCCCTGATGATTGCCATCTGTCCTGGGGTGCAGTCGATGACATGATGGAGGTGGAGCTGCCGGTGCTGTCCTACTGCCCCGAACGCTACGACAACATCACCATCGAGATCTGCGCCGGGCCCCTGGAGGGCGGCAAGGACTCCTGTCAGGGCGACAGCGGCGGGCCCCTGCTCTGCAGGTAAGGCTCGCTGCCGCCACGTCCGTACCCCCACCAGGGTCGCGCCTCCCCACCGATTTGTACCCCCCCCCCTCGTTATTACGCACTCGCAATGTTGCAAGTTCGTGGTCTTGCAGCCGCACTGTTTCCAACTCCACGATAGCGTCAGTTCCAATCCAACGGCAAGACCGTGAGACTGCGGGTCGGTGTTAAGCGGCCTTAAGCGTTGTTGGGTGTTCGGTTCATCGGTGTTCAGCGGGTTAACGGTTGATAAGTGCCGTGAGATTTTCAACAGTACACACAGATCCCGGAGCCTACAAAAGCGCATCACTTTGTACCGTCTTAGTCCTCACACCCCATGGGCCGGCCGTCGCCAGCCTAGGTCACCCTGATCGGTCAACGCCACCTGGGGTCGACGCCCAGCCGTTAACGGCTTACTGCTCGGTGTTGTTATGAGACGACGGCATGTCAGGATATTTTCGGTGAAGTTTTGTGCGTTTCTGTTTGCCAACAGTGTTACTGACCAGGAAAGCTTTGCGAAATTGTGCGAGGCCTAGTGAAAAATTCCTCCGCCTCATTACGGTCTGTGAAACCGGGGAAAATCTGCAGCATCCGCCATTGTTGCAACAGCTGGGCTTAATAAACTGGTTTAGAATGTAAGACGTGCCACAACCTCGGCTTAAATTCTTGCAGCCTATGATGACCTTGCAACATCGTGTGACCTAATGTGACCTTGCATGGCATGTCACGCGATGTTTGGCGCCGCCAGGTCGGCAGACGGCCGGTGGAAGCAGCACGGCATCGTGTCCCACGGGCGCGGCTGCGCGCTGCGTAACTCCCCGGGCGTGTACACGCGGGTCTCCTACTTTCGGCACTGGATCGACCGGTTCACAGGTGCAATTGGCGCGGGGGGGAGGGGGGGGGCACGGGTCTGATCTTTCGTGTCGCCGGCTACGTTATGTTTGGTATGCTTGAGGTTTAATCGGTAAAGAACATCGTCGGGATGACTCAGTGTGGTCGTTTGTCATCTTGGATTGCTGTTTTATGTCTGCAGAGTTGTACCCTAGCATCAGTTTTCAGACGGCTTGGAGATGGAGCGTATCTCACGATGCTTTGTTGATTACTGCATGCAATTGATGGTCGTTCAAAAGTCAGCCATTGCTGTAGAGTACAAGAGTGACAGGGTGTCCCAGGCAGCAGGGTGTCCCGGTTAGTGACGGGCTACCAACTGATTACTTCACGACGGAGGCTGTCGGTACCAATTTTTTAGAACTTGGTGACAATCAAAATGTTGACTCGGTATCAGTAAACAAAATCTTGCCCAACGCAAACATCGTGAAGGAAAATATTTGCAATTGAGGGGTGGCCTCGTGTAGTTTGAGCGGGCACTGGACATTAACATCAGTGAAATGTTGACGAAAATATTTGCACCAAGTAGCAAGTCATGCGGGTCAGATGGTACGGGCTGTACTTGCGAGCCACGCCCGGAGATGCTGTGCGAGAGTGTGTGATTTTAGCCAATTGACTTCAGTTATATCTGGGAATCGTGCTCCCAAACGCCAGTTATAAGCGATTCTATCAATATATTTTTATTGGAGTGGTCGCCGCGTGGCTTATGAAATTATTTTATTCGAATGGCATTACTATATCGTCATGCATGCCAAAGTGACCTTGACGTACTCTAGGCTCCCATCTCCGCGGGCGTAAACCTCAGAAACTAGAGGAGCCTGGGCTTTAAGAACGAAGGGCTGTAAACCGTACCGAGTGATCTTCAAGATGGCTACTTCAGTTCAAAACCCCATGGAACTGTAGAGCACTCCGTTTAATGGTATGCATTTCAGCAAAATCGCATGGATACAGTTTCACTGACTACTGGACTTCTGATCGCCGGCGATATCTTTAGGCCATAGCTTTTAATATGTGGGGAAACAAGATTCACCGCCGTGATTACCATGCCGAATGTTATTTATGCAATAAATTTGTGAACCCGTGGGTACTGATTCGGGCGCGCGCAGAATGTTAGAGAAACATTGCGCTATATTTAAGCTGTTCATCCAGTTCTTGGCATGCGCTTCATCCAAGAGCGCCTCCGGCAGAAGAGTGTGCTGTTTGGGTGACCTGACAGCACGTCTGGCCGCTCGCCAGCCGTGGACACTGCCGGCGCCGACCGGTTTCCGAAGCAGCGCTGCCCGACGCGACTGTGCCACCTGAGAGGCGGCATGTGCCTGACCGAGTCCCAGTTGTGCAACCAGCAAGTGGACTGCCTGGGCGCCGAGGATGAAAGGTGATGGCCAGCCAGGGGGGGGGGGGAGGTCGGGGGGGGGGGGGGGGGGCGGGCCGACGAACTGGGCTGAGATGGACGGGGAGGGGCCAGGGAGAGGAAAGCCGAAGTATGGTCCAGATGATGGGTGGTCCCTTACTGAGCTAGTCTACAAAACAGCAATAAATGGACGGTCTATAAGTCTAAGGAATCCAACTATGTTAGCATGACACCTTAAGCCCATTTGGTGGCATTCCAGATGAGTCTAACTTTCATGATTGGCAGCGAACAGTCGCAGTTTTGGCTTCCCGGTGCAGGGAGCGGCACTACCAACAATTTTGGCACATCATGTAGTAGTATAGGACTGATCTTATTTTAGCCAAGATGGTGTTTGGTCATTGAGCTCATGACCCACTGACCTAGTAAATGACACATGTGCTTGAAAACCAGCATTCCGTGTTGATTTGAAAAATTTTATTCACCGTTAATGATCGGCAGAAAAAAACAATGCCGCTAAAAATTATGATGCCTTTCAGGATGACAAAACTAAGTGACATGACAGGGCGTGGGAGAGTGTCGAAAAAGTACAATGGATGCATCACCGCTATGTTAAACTTATTCGACACTGGCCTCGCCATGTGACGACATGTGGTTGTGACGTTACGCCTCGCCATGTGGTTGTGGCGATATCGTAAAGGTCATCGAAATATTTGAAATGATTTGAAAGTGGTTTGCGGAAAGCCGTCGTGAAGACGGCTGCTGTTTCTGCACGACGGCTAGCATGACTCCAACCGGCAGATTCTGCGGACCAGGCGGCGAGGAGATCTTGCCCGTGTCGACGCCGGCCAGCCCGCCCGTGTCCAACGCCACTATATCCTCGGCCACCGCAGACGGTGAGGAGGTGGGCCTGCCGGCCCGGTGCCGTCTGTGACGATCTTCCACCGACAGCTGGACACGAGGGGACCGCCCAGCGTCGTGACTAGCGCCACCTGTCCGGCGACCGTCGGGCTTCCGTCCAATCCCGAGCGACAAGTGTGGTTTTTACTTCCGTATGCATCTGTGCCACGCAGTAGGGTCCCTGCTTTGTTTTGTCAGTGTTGGAAAAGGATACCGTGCCACTTAACAGCCCCCACTCCGCGAGTCACAGCGAGGCACACGGCCTGGCATAACTGCACGGGCACATCGGGCGATGTGCCTCGCACCGAACGACCCGAGATGAAATAGCTTCGCGCGTCGAGTAACTGCACTGAACAATCCCTGGTCAAATCAACTATTTGGTGATGGAACACCGATTCGAACGTGAACTTCTGTCTCCCAACACCTTATGGACAACGCTGTGTGAATTATCTGATCGGAGCTATCTTGTCGGTGTGTCTTATCCGCCGCGATCTCCCGACAGGCACTGAGGCTTTCGCGCCAACTGGATCAGTGGTGCGTTCTTAAGTTTTGGACAACATTTGGGTCTCTTGAGTGCGAGGTACACAGCCTAGTGTAAAACCAGACTTGGTTTCAGGCGCCGATGAGGTTTTCGGCCCGCCGGACGTGCCGACTCCCCGGCCGACATCCGCGGCCGGCGCAACACCCCCCGCTGTCTCCAACGGCTCGGCGGCAGCCCTATGTGCGGACGACGAGTTTAAATGTATCAGGTAATCCAACACACTAGGTGGAACATGCCTGGGCTTTCTTGCCTTGCCTGATTTACTAAAGCAGAATGTTACGATTGAACCAGACATGTGCCTAGGTCTCAAAGTTTTCGTGAAGAAATGGTGTCTGGTTCCGGAACTAGGGAGAACCTCGGAACCAAGCTGCCACTGAGCCGGAGTCCAGCTAAAACTCCGGAACTGCACCGGCGTTCAGCGAAGTCCAGCCGATACTCATGCCCTAGGCTGACATTAAGCCGAACTCCAGCAAAAACTCAGTGGATGGGGTTGCAATGAGATTAAAGGTAGCCAAAACGGGATCCAGCACTGAGTTTTGCAGAGAGAGACAACAGGAGTCAGAGTCCAGCGTAACACTAGGCTGAGAGATTCAGCAAAAAACTGCTACCCAGCCAGTGATGCAGTCAGAGATCTAGCAGGACTAGGATCCAGCCTGGTATTACGCTGATGATCCATGAAAACCCAAACAAGTACAGACTTCGAAAACCAGCAAGGACCACGATCCTTGTTCGAATTGCAGTCGAACCAATGCTTATCCATTGAGTGTACTTTCATGCAAGTGTTCTGGGCGGGCAAAACCAATCGAAGACGAAGAACACACCGATTAGAACCAGGGAGCAGGATCTGGTGCTTTGTGAGTAAATTTGTCCCAGTGAACGCGACGCTCGTCGTCGCAGCCTGTCATGGAGTGTCAGGTGCCTGCAGAGACGACGGGAACGCTTAGGGCCCATGGCACAGCCGAGGTTCGAACCGGAGCCCCCACGTGGGAGCCAAATACGTTAACCACTCCGGAAGTTTGTCCCTTGTGAGTGAACTAATGGGAAACCCAGCACCAAGACTTGTTGTTTGTGAGAAGCCAATGAAAATAAAAATGAGGCGCTAATCATTGTGAGTGGGTCGGTGAAAACCATGAACCAGGGCCAGGTGTTTGTGAAAAAACGGTAATAACCAGGACCATGGCCCGGTGTATGTGAAAAACCGATCTGACCATACACCGGGTATGTTGCGTAAAAACGAGTGGAAGCCAGGAACTAGTACCTCATGCTTGGGAAAGGACCAACGAGGACTAGGAACCGGGGTCCGGCGCCCGTAAAAGAACCAATTGAATCCAAAAACTGGAAGCCGTAGTTGCAAAACAAACTGAGGAATCCAGAAAAATGGCTTCGCTTTTAGGGCAAGTTGAAACCAGCAACCAGCGTTAGAAACCAGAAAGACGTCTGAGTAAGACAGATCCCTGCAGTCATCTGTCATCCACCGTTATTTTGGCCGCACTGTCCGCAGCCTGCCCCCTGTGTGCCGTAGTCTTAACCTGCTTAGGTCGTGCAGCTACCAGTCATTCACCGTTGTTTTGGCCACGCTGTCCACAGCCTGCCCCACTGTGTGCCGGAATCCCAGCGCTGCGACCTGCGCCCGCAATGCGGCGACTTCTCGGACGAAGCCTCCTGCACCCCGCTCGACTACCTGGTCCGACATGAGCAGGACCGGCTGTGTGACCATGAGGTGGACCTGGCAGACACGTCCGACGAAGAGTTCTGCTGTGAGCCTCCCCCCTCGCGGTCACTGGCGTGACCGCGTGATCCCCGCCGACAGCGCCACGACGGGCCACCGAGCGTGCTGGCGAACACCCTGGGGAAAGTTCCCTCATGTGAAGGTTCCTGGTGGTGGTGGGGTGGAGGGGGTGCCTGCTAGTGGCCTTATAGGTTGTAAAACACCGCCATTGGGTGGCTGGTTTCAGCACGCGCTCGGGTGGGGGTGAACTCGACCCCCCCCCCCCCGATAGCTTTTCCAGACTAATTTTCGGCCATAGTTTTCGGCCTTTCGGCGGCGCAGCTGCACTTAACTTTACACAGCTTTCAAGAATTGAATAGCAAATCTTTCGATTTAAAAAATTGCATGTACCTAGTAAGGTCACTGACTTATGGCAGGCCAGCCAGGTCCTGGTTGTCAGCGAAGGTCATTTCTAGGGAAACGCCCAATGTAATGCAACAACGGAGTGTTACACGAGGCCATACATAAGATAGGTAGTAGACCAAATTAATTTATAATTAACTATATTGACCTAATATCAGTTCTGAAGGCCAGAGCAAAGTCAAAGCTAGCTTGCTTTTTTACTGGAGGGCTTGGTTTTAGGCGATAGTGTCTGGTGATCATTTCAGGATTTGATTATGGCAGGAGCCGCAGCAGACATGATCCATGGACTTTTGAAAGATCTGCGTAGATCACTAGCCTGAAATGAACCGGGGCAACATTGTGTTTTAGCAACATCCGACCAACGTAATACCTAACGCTTATTCGAATGGGAAAACAGGAGCAATCTCGTAGTTGGTTTGGTCATTTTGACCTTCTGAAGGTCAACAAGGTCACTGACCTCATTTGCCTTATGCTTAGGGCCCGGTATCTAGCTTCGCGGTGGTTACATGAGCAGGTTTGAGGGCACTTGAGACACCTATCCGGAGTTTGACCTTGTTTGACTTTATTTGACCCCAAGGTCGTGACCTAGCAGCATCAAATTTTGACACAAGTTAGCTCACGTACAGACCAGTCCACCCTGTGCACTTGACGTCTCTAGCCATCTTAGTGTTTGAGATCTCAGGGGGTCAAATTGACCCTTACCCAAACGAAGGATATTAACCGGCCACCCGGGCGCATATGAACTTCGTGGCAATGCGGGCGGTTAAAGTATTGCATATCACCCGGCTGGCGTGTTAGTGTTTTGTGTTACTGGCACACGGGTATCGCTGAGTACTGCTAAGCACCACCACCCCGCAGGTCCCCGGAACCCGGACGACTATTACTGCCGGCACAGCCAGCGGACGATTCCCAGGCGCTGGTGCTGTGATCGCGACATCGACTGTGAATATGGCGAGGACGAGGCGGACTGCGGTGAGACAAATGACTGCGGAGCGGGCTGGCCGTGGTGAGACGTATGACTGCGGTGAGAGGGCCGGGGGAAGGGCGTGACTGGTGAGAGAACTGACGAGCTGGTGAGAGGAGTGACTGGCGATAAATGTGCAAATGTGGTAAATCATGACCGCAGCTGATGGCGACTGGGGTCAGACACCTGACCACGTGATTAGTAAAATGCACGATTAGTGACAGGCGGGCCTGCTGACGGGCACGGTGAGTGTGATGAGAGACGATGAGTGTGGTGAGAGGTGTTATTGTGCAAAGGGGTGGACTGTGGCAAGAGGTGCGACTTCATTGGGAGGCGTGATTGTGGTGGAGAATGGTATCTTTGTAACTTTGAAATTTATCTGCATTTCTGAATAAAATATTCTACTGTTCAACACCCAAATGTAAGGATATGAACCACATAACACCAATGCTATAACTGGACCGTTCATTTATCGTGAATGCTCAGCATTTCCAACATCATCACTTATTGTTTGAAAATAATAGCTCTCGCCGGACTTACGTTCGACTGACTGGCAAAGCTAGGCAGCGAGCAGATATTTGTACCCGACAAACGGTCACACCGGCCTTTCACGTGATTTGTTTCGCTCTGCAGTTGCCCTGGTTGGCAGCGACACGGACACGATCGAGCTGGACAGGATGGGCCGGCCGCTGAACCGACTGCGCGGGCTGGTGGCCATCAAATCAGAGTGGGTAGCCAGCGCACAGCTACTGCCGACGGAGGCCGTGGAAGGAAACGGCAGAACAGCTCATTGTGAAACGCTGTCTCATTGGAGGTGGCTGTGAACATCAACGGCTAGCGTCTAACGGTTGACAGGAACCGTTAGCAACGGCTGTTTCCGTGTTAACAACGTGTCATATGACATAACGAGAGAGCGCAATAACAGTGGAGTTGCGATTCGCGACTCGCACAGGACTCTTTTCTTAATGACGCCTCTACTTCATCCGCATGAAGAACCAAGACCAGATAAGCGCTGCACAAATTTTCTTCCTGCTATGGGGTGACATATTGGTGACGACAAAGGTGATGTCTAATCTCGTAAGTGTAAAGCTGACATCTTTGTTACTTTGCTTGCTTTATTTGTCAACTCTGTTGGCTCAAGTGACGTCGTGTTACTCGATGGCATGCCGCTATTAGGACATGATAATGTTAATTGTCTGTCACATGACATCAGACTATCGTTCATTGTAGAGATGTAGGTTAAGGAAGATATAGGTTTTCACCGCCTTGTTCACCGGTTTTTCAGTGCGCGTTCAATGTATTCTGGGCACGAGTGATTGTTTCTTTCTTAGCCCATTGTAGTCACTGACGCTGTTAACAAGTTATGCCGTTGGTGCATGACACAATTCTTGTTCAACTCGAAGCTTCCACAGCCATTCTTGACAGGTCCATGATAAAGTATTCGTCAGTGCTTTGGATTTCGAACAGCATTCATCGGAAAACAGATTCATGTCCGTCCATACAGCTCAGTTGGTTAAAGCTCCTGCCTTCCAATCCACCTATCCGGGGTGGGGTGGTTTCGGGTCGCCATATGCACTCGCAAGCTGCCCTTGGCTGGGATGGCCTGCAACCGGTGCTGGAGGCTACGCTGAAAGATGACGTCAGAGGGCAGAACGGATCGTGCCGAACATAGTGGCACGTTAACGTTCGTCCCCAAATTTTACCGCTGACCTGGCATTGCACGATCGATACTAAGATAGCTAGAGACAGTGGTCGCTGGCCAATTCATTGAAAATATGTGTAGTGTCTCGCTCCCTTGTATACCTACCTACCTATCTCGCTCCGCATCTCGCTACCTTGCTGAAAGCAATTCCCCAAGCCTTCCATTCAGGTTAACGCTGCGCTTCTTCCAGCTTCCACTCGGGCGCCGCGTGGTCCCCAATCTGCGCCGATCCTGACAGCTGGATGAGCAAATACTCTGACATCCTCTGCAACTACCTGCACCAGGGGTGAGCTCTCGATCTACCTGCACCAGTGGTGAGCTCGCGATCTACCTGCACCAGGGGTGAGCTCGCGATCTACCTGCACCAGGGGTGAGCTCGCGATCTACCTGCACCAACGGTGAGTTCCGGATCTACCTGCACAAAGGGCGAGCTCGAGATCTACCTGCACCAACGGTGAGCTCTCGATCTACCTGCACCAGGGGTGAGCTCGCGATCTACCTGCATCAACAGTGAGCTCTGGATCCGTGACGCCACCGCCAGACGTACCCTGACAGAGCCGGGAACGTCGGTACATAGCGATCTTGCCCGGACAGAAGGACGTAAGATCAGAAGACAGACAAATGGATATATAATACTGGACAGAGCATCTTCCAGAATAATACCGGACGGAAGATCTTCCAGCAGGGCGTGCCGTGGCAAACGTTGATCAAAGTTGTTTGCAGGTCAAAATTTGCTTTTGCAACAGATGATTCCCTCACGGCACCCAGAAACGGGTGACCAGGTGTGCCAGCCCGTCCGCCACGGCGCAAAAAATCGCACTTTGACACCCAAATTAGGAATGGAAAACTGAGAAGGCGCGGCACTCCCTGCTATGTAATACCGAGACACTTAACATATGCAAATAGAGAGAGAAACGAAAGTGGTCGGTTTCAAGCATGACAACTGACAAGACTAGCATACAAAATCACGTCAAGGTAATGTTATAAACTACGCATGAAGAATGCACTAAATAGCTTTGGGGCAGATCCGGCTTCCGTTCTGATCAAACGCCCGTCGGCACCCCTGTCAACGGATCAAAGCTTGCTTTGCAACGGATCAAAGCAAGCTTGTTGTGCATCGGGGGACGGGGTGTCGATTCGTAATACATTTGATGTTGCGTGTTACACGACATGTCTGTGATACATCAAACACGTATGTCGGTAACCCGTATGTCGGTAAGTTGTCAAGCAACGTCAGCAGTCTAGCTGTGTGTTTGCTGTGGATGGATTCCCACCATGGAACCAATAGCCTCGTGCATGAACAAGAGGTGTATTGTAGAGGAGAGGTGTAGAGGAATATTTCTGACCTAATTTTCTATTACGACCCAATTTCATCTGCGCGAGGGACGTGTATGCGGTGAGGTGCGTCATGTGCTTCCAATGGTGTTGCTCTGTAAATGGCTGTCGTGTGCCGCCTCCAGCACCGGCCGGGTTCCTGACCAGTCTGGCGTCCGTTCTCGGCTCGCCGTAACCCCGGCCACCGTGTGGCCGCAGGGTGGTGCTGAACGAGCGCTTCGTCTCCGCCGATGACGGGGACCGTACGCCCGTGTACCCGCTCGGGGAGGAGCTGTACACCTGCGAGGAGCTCCAGGACGATGGACGGGTGGCGCCCGGCATGACCGTCAAGGAGCATCTGATGCCGCGCACGCTTGACCACCCGTTGGTCCACCTCAACCACTTGCTAAACGGCCAAAAGGCAAGTGGGGTGGAATGGCGATGCCATAGCGGTTATCATGACTGGAAATGAATGAAATGAAATGAAATGACATGACATGAAACCATTTTCTCGGAACGTCAACATCACGTGCTAGAATATTTGTTAAGTAAATTATAATGTGAAACATACATTAAACATATCAAGATTTACATGTAGCGTGCTAGAAATAATAGAAATTTACTACCAATAGTTTGCATTGTTCCGAAAAGTATCCAAAAATTATTTCGAGTTTTATCGTCAATTCCACGCAACTGTTTACGTAATCAAGCGTTGTGGACCGTTCGGCCCATTGCGGGCAGTCCATCCTGAAACAAATATGCAATGGTTTGTACGTCCTCCGGCGGCTGTCGATCGTGTGGCTCTCTGTGGCGTCCAGCTGTGTTGCTGTGTCACCAGCTGGCCACTGGCCGCGCCGCCTGCACCGCCGTCGACCTCACCTGCGGCCCGGCGGCGGAGCCGAGCTGCGGTCACCGGCCGGCGCTCAAACAGCTCCGCGACACGCCCGGTCCCACCTCCGGTCAGTGGTGCCACGCCCCCTGGCCAGGCGTCGGTGGTGCCATACTCCCTGGCCGGGCGCCAGCGGTGTAGCACGCTCTCGCCCGGCGTCGGTGGTGCCACACTCCCTGGCCAGGCGTCGATGGTGCCCCACTCCCCGGCCAGGCGTCGGTGGTGCCCCACTCCCTGGCCAGGCGTCGGTTGTGCCACACTCCCTGACCCGGCTTCAGTGGTGCCGCACGCCCTGGCCCGGCTTCAGTAGTGCCTCACCTCCTGGCCAGGCGTCTGTGGTACCACACTCCCTGGCCGGGCGCCAGTGGTGCAGCACGCTCTGGCCCGCTGGCGTCATTGGCATAATGTTTGTCGGGTCAATAGTCACCAGTCAAGTAACCAGTGACTTCTTCACATCTTAGCGTTTGCCTCTCATCTAAGGGCCAGGTGGTGACCCCTTTCTGATGTGTGAACCACACGCCTAAAAATGTGCCTCGTGCCCCGACGTGTGCCACTTACGTCAGTGTGAATCTCGCAGATGTTTGGCCCAACAACGCGTTTCACGGTCCCAAAACACGATTTGTGTCCTTTACGCGAAGAGGTACTGTGACTATGTTGCGGCACTGGACCCTGTACCCGAACGTGTGAGCGTCGTACCCCAGCGTGTGCCCGTCAGTCCAATATGCTATCTGCACCCCGCGCCCCAGTTCATGAACCCCGTACCCCAGCGCGTAAGCTCCACACCCCTGTGCGTTGTCCCGCGCCACAGTATGTAACCCTACGCCCCAACGTCTTACTCCGTACCACAGTGCGTGCACCGTACCCAAGTGTTACGCCTCAGTGCCACCCTGCGCCTCAGTGCCACCCTGCGCCCCAGTGCCACCCTGCGCCCCAGTGCCACCCCGCGCCCCAGTGCGTGACCCCGCGTCCCGGTGCGTGACCCTGCGCCCCAGTGCCACCCTGCGCCCCAGTGCCACCCCGCGCCCCAGTGCCACCCCGCGCCCCAGTGCCACCCCGCGCCCCAGTGCGTGACCCCGCGTCCCGGTGCGTGACCCCGCGTCCCGGTGCGTGACCCCGCGCCCCAGTGCGTGACCCGCGTCCCAGGTGACCCGGACTGTCGGCAGGCTCCGGGGTATGGCCCATGTACGTCACCGTATACGTGGACGGTGCCGTGGTGACCGGAGCGACTCTCATCAGCCCCAGCTGGGTGATGACGTCATCCGAGGCGGTTGACCTTATCAGGTAACGCAGCCGACACGCGCATTCTTCCCATACCTCGATACAATCATTCCATAAGGCTCATCGCGAGTGATTCATCATAACAAAAATACCAAAGCTAGGCCTTACTCGTTGTTAATTGTGCAGGATATTCATTTATGGAGGTGTTGTGAACACAAATGCATAATCCCGAACAACTTACGCGACAGCGCTTGAATTGCTTGCTTTTCAGCTTATACACCGAAGTGTTATTGGTATTTGGCGTCACCTGATATGTATGGGTCTCAGGTATACGTTTTGGTAAAACCCGGTGTGCATGGGTCTCAAGCACACGTTTAGCATCACCTGGTGTGGGGGTATCTCGTGTATACGTTTGGCGTCACACGGCGTGATCAAGATCAAACACTTAGACGCTGGCAGATGTGTGACTGGGTCCCATGGTTGGGTCCAGGACACCATTGAGTTCTACCGTGAAATGATCATGGGATCGGATCTTTGGATCTTTTTGGGGTTACAGGCTCACATTTGGACACCAGTAGAGCTATTTTGAACGCGGTGTTTGCCTGTACGTTGTACGTACGTACGTTGGAGTACGTTTTGCCTTAACGTGCTATGCAAAGCCAACGTTTTAAAATGATGCTAGGTGCATAAGCTTTATCTGTGATAAATCTGCGCTAAAGCATACCTGACTGCACAGGGAACAGCCCATTCTGCGCAGCTGTCATCAATGCACCTGCATGTGTAAGGGGTAATGTGTAATGCATCCTCACCTTTCTCAGCCCCTCGTCCGACTACGTCGCCGTGCGGGCGGGCGAGCACCGGCGGCAGCTGTTCGCCACGCCCGCCCACCAGACGGTGCGCGTCGACTTCCGCTCCCGCGACGGTGACGTCACGCTGCTTCACCTGAGCCGGCCGCTGGCGCTGGGCGAGCACGCCTACCCGGCCTGCCTGCCGCCCGAGGACGGGTCAGTGGCGGGTTAGCCCGGCGGGCGGCAGGTTGGGGTTTCGTTCCCGGCGAGGGCCATGTGTCCGGTACAGCTGTTTTTTGCTCCGTGACATATGTTGTTTCCGTAGTATGAGAACAATGACATACAAGAGATATTATCGCACGCAGTAGGCATATTTTCAGTGTATAGCTACACGCAAGGAACATGAACTTACTGGATCTGCTTATTCCTCGTCGTTTTGCAGTCAAGACGTCTCGATACGCACCTCAAACGACAGGTAACTGCGTTTTCTGTCTGGTAGCCAACATCGCCTGTGCTAGCAGTCTTTGGTGACGGCTCTTCTTGCAGCCATGGCTGAGATATTACGCGCGCCCCAGGGCGACCGACCATAGCCCCTGCGCTGCTCTCCTCCTACACCCTGAGGGCGAAGTGTCGTGTGACTGCCGGCAGGAGCTCTGCTCTGAGGCACGTGGACTACTGCTTCGCTGTCGGCTGGGGTGGTGGCGCAGTGCAGGGTGTGAAGCTCCGCCTCGACCCCGTGTGCCCCGAGGATATGGTCTGCACCCTGCCGGCGCCCACAGCACGCTGCCAGGTGACCCCGGCAGTCGCAGGCTAGGCCTTGTGCCTGATGTCATCTGTGGGGTGCTGCCAAGTCAAATACTTGATCCATGGTGCTATTTTTGTGACTCAGCTGCATTCTTTTTGGAATAGCCAGCGGCCTCCATCGTTTTATCTCGTATAGCCTCCCCGTGCGATTTTCCATGTGACCGACCGGTGACCTTCCTGTGACCTGCTTGCGACCTCCTCTGTACCTCTGTACCCCTCTATGACGTTGCCTGGAAATCCTTTGGGCGGGAGGGGGGGGGGGGGGGGCGATGGGTGAGGGCCGGGCCTCCGGCTTTGGAAAACCAGAAAACTAGAGGTGGGTCGGGGATCCAAGGACCCTTTAGAAGAGCCCAATTCGCCTCACGCAGATCAAAGAAAAGTGAGTGGACTGAGTGATAAAAACTCCAAAAGGGTTTTTTTGGCAGAAAAGAAACTTGGACAGTATCAAATTGCTCCTTCCAGATACTCAGTACGCTCCCATTGGGTATCTCCGTGCCTTTCTGGTCCATTGACGGGCGATTTCTGGGCACCAGAAACACACTGGTCGCTTATGGGGGCCACATAACTGCTGAGAGCCCTCTTGCCTTTCGAAGATTTCCCCCTCCAGACCATCAAGGGGATTTTCGGACCACACAGGGACCCTTGGGCCTTCTGTGGTAGCTTCTAGTAATTTGACCGGGGTGTGGTTTTGCAAAGTGAATTGGAAAGGAAGGGGGAGGGGCAGAGCAGGGGAAAACGACGCAACTTGCCTTCAAAATGCCAATCAATGGATCTCCCCGGATTCGACCGACTTTATTCCCAAAGTTAGGAGCTAGGGGAATGAATAAAAAACTACCTTCCCTCCCTGTGTTCGGCATGATGAGTTCAAGTGTTCTGACACCGAGTTATCGATCTTCAATATACCAGGAGACGCGGTTAAACGACGATATAGAACAAAAATCCATTTTATTGTCATATTTTGTGTGTGTGTGTTATTAAATATATATATATATATATAATTTTTATTCATATTTGCGTTTGCATTCGATGGCTTAAAAGTAATCTTTATGGCAAAAAGTGGCTAATCTGACCCATGCCAGTCTGAAGCCTCCCTGATAACTTGCCTATCATTCCCCATAGTGTCTCACTCCTCTCACATCCCGCGTGACCCTGACCTCTTGTGTGACTATGACCTCTTATGCGACCTCTTCGAACTCTTCTTCTATGACCTCCTTGACTCTACCGTAACCGTCTGTGCCTTTCCTTACAACCTTTGCCGAGCTCTTATCGGCGGATGCATCCACCTCTGCCGCCCTATCGTTCCCCTGTCTGTCTCGGTGACCTGAACCCAATGTTACATTTCCATGACCACCGCCTTCCGTCCCTTTCCACTTCCAGAGTGCCGGCGACTGGTCGGGAGCGTTGCTGTGCCGGGGGGTCGACTTGCTCTGGCGGGCGGCTGCCGTGTTCCGCGAGCACGGTCCGCACTGCTTCGGCCGGAAGCGCCGGTGGCGCCGCCTGTCGGCCACTCACCTGCGCCGGCGGCTCGACTGCCTCAACATCTCGCTGACGGCGCCGCCGGAGCTGGGCCAGCTGTTCCGGGATGAGCTGCTGGACAGGTGCAGCGGCCTGGCCTGCCGCGGTCAGACGTCTGGGTGACGGGCGCGGGGGGGGGGGGAGGGCGCGGAGGGCGTCTCGCAAGCAAGCCCCTTCTTGCTGTTTTGGGTGGAGATTTTTAGCTCGGTCTCATTTAATTTAAAAAGTTGCTCAAAGAGATCCTGCTGAAAATGTCCAAAACTATTCTGACTAAACCAGAAAACAAGTAATGACTTTTTCTATCCATCATAGTGGAAATTTTTACTATATCTTGACGAAGTCTGTTTGTGCTCTGTTCGTCCTTACATGTACCAGTGTCGTGCTGTATCCTCCTCCATAGTTGCTGATCGGTCCCCTGTTCCCCGATGCACCATCTGTCTCGTCATTCCTGCCCTGTGTTGTCTTATTTTGTCTATCTTATTTTGTCAATCTTATCTATCTTGTCTTGCCTTGTGCCATCGGCAGCTGTACCCCATCAGTGGCGATCGCCGAACCTCCGTGCTCGGGTCACCGGTGCACCTTGGGGCAGTGCATCCACCCAACCAAGGTCAGAGTGCGGCGAAGGTGGCGCATTCGACACCGGGGCCGAGCTGGGATCGGCACACGCCTCCAATGTGGGCGCGTTGCACGTTCAAAGACGTTCGCGACTAGACGCTATCTGAAACCACACGCATTTTGTAAACATTTTCGGGCCTCACACAGCGGTTGCAATGGATTGCGGGGCGGGCAGGCGAGGAAGAAGTGTGCGGGGTCCTGTCCCTGTCTCTGTTAGGCAAATATTCCCCTGGTCGACTCTGAGCCCATTGCCGACACAGTACCCTGGTGGCTATGTAGGCCCCTGGCCAACACAGGGGTTCATTATTGCTTCAGTGGCCCCAACCAATGCAGATCGCGAGCCCAGCTTCGTCCCTGCTTGGGAAGTGGGCCCCCGGGGCTCAGACTGATACGCAGCAGACTGTTCGGTGTTGGCGGCCTCTGGCCGAAATAGAGGCCCGCGTTGTCCCGGGGGCGGGGGGGGGGGGGGGGTTAGTCGGTATAAGAGGCCATGTGACTGATTTTGAGATCTCAGGCACGTGCCCCGGTGACCCCTGCTTACGCCACTGACGCGGTCACGTGACGCCCGGTGCCGTCTTGACGGCTGACTGCGTAGGCGGAAACAGCGGCTGGGCGATGCCTGACGGCCAGCCGACGCCTAGCCGCTGGGAAACGGGCTGCACCCAGCACATTTAACAACATACCAAAGAACAACGAAAACAACGGCGATAACGAAACCAGCACGCAGGGTCTTACCTCGGCCTGTCTCTCTGTTTCCATGGGTGTGATCGAATATTCGCGTATGTCAATTGCACTGTGTACGGCGGACGGCTGCGAGCTTTGCCATTGATTTGAACCGGTATGCCTTTTGAATTGGCCTCGTCCAGAAGCTGATTCGAACAAGTCACCTACAATTTAAGTGGCGATGTTTACGCCCCCAGGTTTGCAAATCAGTCCACCGTTCACACATTCGGCTTGACATGCTGTCAAGTCAGAATGCCTGGCAAAACATGAGCCCGACAGTACGTGACGTACGTGACGTACAGTACCAACAGTGACCAACGTGACCAACAGTACGTGACGTGACGTGTGGTGACGTGAAGTGGCGTGACGTGTGGTGACATGACATGACATTGAGTGACGTGACGTGTATTGACGTGACGTGACGTGTAGTCAAGTGACGTGACATGACGTGCGGTGATGTGACGTGATGTGTGGCGGCGTGACGTGACGTGTGGTGACGCGACGTGTTGTGACGTGACGTGTAGTGACGTGACGTGACGTATAATGACATGACGTGATGTGTAGTGAAGTCACGTGACGTGTGATGACGTGACGTGACGTGACATGACGCAGCCAACTGGTTGCTTAAAGCTAACCGCATTGCGTAGAGCACATTGCGAGTGCATTGAATGCACACACGGCTGCACACACGACCTTGGCCTCACTTCTGCTGCGTCCGACCCAGCGTTTAAGATCCTCCCATCCGGTCTGAATCTTTTGAGGACGTGCCGATAATATGCTGAATCCGGTGGGCCATAAGCCTGAACCCCTAACCACATGACTTGTGAAGAGCTGTAGCGTATACCTGACCACAAAACAGTAGCTTTGTGGGTGTGTAAGTGTGCCACAATAATAAGCAAACACACTGCGATCAACCCGTCTCCCTTGTGCAGGCTTGCAATAACTCTTCCAGGCCACGTAGCGTTGGTGTGCATGTGCACCGTTGTGCAGTACGCGAAGCTTGATAATGATCCCATGCGCACGTGCAGGTGTGTAACGGCGCGCCCGACTGCGACGATGGCTCGGACGAGGTGGACTGTGATTTCAACGTCACATCTTGCATCACTCCCAGCGGCCAGTGTGGTTAGTATTACTCTCCAGCGGAACCGCACCAGCGTCCAGTGGTTATCGTAACTGGATCGTCCATAAATATGGCAGGGAGGTGGTTTTTGGTAGAGTTTGCTGGCAAAACGCGTCCAGGCGGCCGGTTAAACGCGCCACGCTCGGGTAAGAGGTCAGTTTTACCAGCCAATATCTGGAACACCAAGATTGCGAGACACATAACGTACAGAGCAGGCAGGAATTTAGATAAACTCACTTGTGCCAAATTTTAAGCTTTCTAGGTCATTACGTTTGGTTCAAAAAATGTCTAACAAGGTTGGACTATGCGGTATGCTTCCCAAGGCAAAATACTGATTTATGTCATTCTGAGTCGGCAACCCCCCCTGGCCTTCATTTTATGAACTTTAAGTAATCATCTTTTGAAGTAGTTGAGATCCAAGATGCAAAATGGACATCAAAATAGCCTGAAGCCAAGTTTTCCAGTAATGAAGCGGTTCATCCCGTACAACCGCAGTTTAGACCACCATGGTCATGCAGACGGTAAATTCTACTGAGGACCATTGCCAGCTGGTACGTATCAGAGCTACCAATTAAGTTGTTTTAACCGCACATTGCGGGCCTGCAGCCATAAAAGTGGCACCTTCACTGGTATGAATGACAACACAAATGAACAAATGACGTCAATACATGTTTGCATGCATTTTTTTCTCTACACGGTGTTCATTATTACACATCATTGACAAACCTCATTCGGTAACGTCTCGGGGAAAAGGATCCCTGTCTACCTCTCAGGCCACACGGCGTGCAAGGAGCTTGACATACAGTGGCGTGCTGTAACGCCGTTTTTCAGCATCTTTCTGTGACTGCTGTAACATGTCACACTATTCAGTGGACTTCTATGGCCTATTGTGACCTTGGCGGGACGATGACCGTCGCCGTGGCGCGGCAGACTGCGCGGATGGCCAGATCATGTGCGCGGAGAGCGGCACCTGCCGACCTTACCGCGCCTACTGCGACGGCCGCGCCGGCTGCCTCAACGGCGCCGATGAGCCCGACATCTGCACCTGCCGCGGCTTCCTCCGGTGAGAGGTGTCTCCATCTCCGGTCTTTCCTCATCCCCTTTCCCTTGCCTTCACTTTTGGTAGTTCTGTGCCCTTCAGACAGTTTGAATATGTGAATGAGATTGGTTTGATTCACTATTGCTGACTTGCTGGATTCGATTCCGCAATCCGATTAATCTGTGAACAAGAAGATGGGATTCCGAATCACATAATACCATGATTTTTAGTCCGCGTTTGGCTGGATGCTGACAAGAGCGCCGGAAGTATTTCGAAATTTAACAAGTACCAGATACTGCTCTAGTTTTCATTAAATAGCTTACCAAGTTCTTAGTCATTATGGTCGTCTTCTAAGTGGTCCCATTGAGCATGTGTACCTTGAGCCCATGCAGGGGCGTCACTTTTGTAGAATCAGTTGAAGGAACTCGCCCATCAAGGTTGACCAGCTTCCTCCCAGACCTGATTTCTCCCCCAATTCTGGCCACCTCAAGCTACTTTCTCGGTGCCAAGGATTATTATATTTTAATTTGCCAATACAAGACTGTCTTACGGAAAAATGTTGGTGGAATTCACGGAAAGTATCTAAGTAAGACGGTCCGATATAGTCACCGGAAATAGGTCCCGTGTGTCGTTCATAGAAGATGGTCCGAGGCGTAAAAACACAGTTGTATGTAGGATGGCTGGTAAGATCACGTAACGCTATTTAGGTCAATATAAATGGATTTCACTGACTGAAATGTGTCTGAGCTTTTTGATATATATATATATATATATATATATATATATATATATATATATATATGATATCAGTTTTCAGTTGCTATACAAGTGAAAATACATGCATTTTATAATTTATTTATAATTTATTTCGCTTGAGCGACAGTCGGCAGCGTGAAGCTTAATATTGAGTAACTGTCCGCGCGCCAAGATGCCATCGAATCCCAAACAACTATGTATGTGCTTCATTGGCTCTGTATTTGTGAAACCGCATTCGCACCATGTAGCACTACTATTATTCAACTATTGTTTGCAAATCACTTCCCTATTCTCTGCTTCAGTATAGCACGTAATAACTATTTCGATGCATACAAGACCTGAAGTCAACTAACTCTGAGCTTTGGCTTATGTTGTGATTGGATCCACCTCTGCGGTGAAGCATTATGCTATATCTTCCGTTCAATATGGAGATGAATGAAAAACAGTCGCTTAACACACACTTGATGCATTTCAATGTATGTGACCTTGGTCTGCATTTCCCCCACTAAAATTGACCTGGCGCGCGTATTTCCAGTGCGCGTGTAATAGATCACCGAGCACGCAGTGTCGTGACGACAGTCAAAAAGTAGATGCAGGTTTTGAAAAAAATCTATGCAACTATGCGTGAACATGTGAACGCAATTAGCTCTCTGGAGGTGTGCAGCGCCACCTTTTTACCAGGCTGGCGGCGCCGGAGCTCATCTGCGACCAGAATGTCGACTGCATAACGGGCGATGACGAGTTTGGCTGCAGATACGAAACGGACAGATTCCGCTGCTACCGGTATGTGGCGTCGGTCGGTCTGATGCGACCATCTGCCCGCCGCCCCTCCCCCCCCCCCCCCCTCCATCCTGACTGTCGTCTCTGAATGGGAACACTGAATGATGGGACACTGCAGTGACACTGTTAGCCGGGTTTTGTTGTCTTGAAATGTGCTTGACCGGAATATTTACTCCCCACCTGTCTTTGTGAATTCATGTTTTGTATTAATGATTACTTTCTCGTCGTGTTGCATGTATGCACTGCCGAGGTGCTTAATTTGCGCAAACTTGGCTTTGTGCCCTTCGTTCTTATCGGATGCAGAATATCGTGAGTCACATCTCAGCCACCAACGGCCTCCCGGCTAGTGCGGAGCGCGGAGTCTCTTCTGCCCACCGCTCCCGCCGGCCACGTGCCCCGCCTCGGGCGCCTGTGGTATCACTCGCCCCGGGTTGTGCACCTTTGTGACGTCATGTCTCGTCTGTCGCGTGCCTGCCGCCCGGCTTCACGGTTCGCGACCTGCGCCCTAGTGATGTCATGTATCGTCTTTTACGCGCTGGCCGTTCGGCCCTTCGCGCGACGTCTCCGCCCATCGGGCCTGACGTCATCGGCCGCGCCCGCAGGAACCCCGAAGTCAGCCTGATCCCGCGCTCGGAGGTGTGTGACGTCAGCTACCAGTGCGCCGGCGGAGAGGACGAGGAGCACTGCGTATGCCTGCTGATACAGCTGCCCGCCAGCGTGCCCGATCACCAGGGCAGGCCGAGCTTCAACGTCAGCGAGACCCTGCTGGGGTCAGTTGCTTCGCGCGGAGAAGCGGCGCTAGTGGCGTCGACGTCGTGCAGGTGCAGTTGTTGAAGTCACGGGGAATCTGAGCGCATTTGGCGGCTACGCGCAGGATCCGATCACACTTCCCACGTTTTATCGTGAGGTAAAGCGCTGCCAATGGCATGGTGTAATTAAATCATACGCAGCAAATGATCGATCCCGGTTGTGGCAAGCGACAAACGAAAGGAATGTATCATTGATGGCTCAAGCAATGTGTTTACAATGAATCATGTTGCACACACATTCAGAGCGCTCTGTGAAAACAGAAATCTGGAGATATATTCCTTTCTCCGACCACACCTTGACCACATTTATGATGCCTTCATTTCTGTTCAATCTATCATCCTGATACGTTCCTTGTCATCCGTATCTCTAAATGGCTTCGGGTGAAAAGGCACTTTGTCCCGCTCCCGTGTGTGACAGTGCTCTTCACAGTGCGACTGTGCTCTACGACGAATGAACCTACGCTCAGTGCAGCAGGACTCGTTCCCACTCGTTCTTGGTATAGCCTGCCGCACCAAAGCTCACTCAGGAAATGTTTTCCGTATTTGGTATGTGTACCACAGGTAAGCAGCCTTTGTGGGTGCACAGATATTCTATGAACACTTAAACTCCAGCGAGGTCTTTTCTCGAAAAATATTGGCCATGCGCGACCGGCTTATTATCCCGCATCGGAGCCTCAGGCTCTTTTCCGTTAGGTCCCGTTCAAACAAAAACATAGGTTAGCATGGAACCCACCCTCCAGCTGCTTAACTTCCAATCTAATGGCATTCTTCAAGCTCACCGCAAACAGCACATGGCACGCATTGCTGTCTGTAACCCGAATCATTTTCAAGCCGGGGCTGCTGTCCCCGCTCTTGCATTCCAGCCCCAGCATAAGGCCAACAGCATTTGCACGAATGATCGCTCATACATGCCTCCAGTACGACTGCATGACGCTTGACACTTTTTTTGCAATCACGCGTGTGACACTTTTGACATGTCATTTTCATTGGTGTTATTTAAACTGTCGTCGGGCTGGGGCTTCGAATGACATCAAAATACGCCAACCTCACTTTCAGTCCGGACACTATAGCACTATCAAGTGCCTTTCCACCATTGGCGCACGTCTAGTGGTGGTTAGTTGCAGTGGATGCTTCATGCGAGCATCCACTGCAAGCACTGGCCACTGCACTGCTCAGCACAGCGGTGGTTTGGCCGTATTCTGGTCGGTGGTGTCGCCCACGTGTGGCCTGAGTGGTGCGGGTCTCTGCGCAGCTCAGCCCCGCCTGTCTGCCCCCGCAGGTCTCCTCGCTGCGACTCCGAGGGTTTCCTGGTGGTGCGTATGCACGGCCGCTGGATGGCCGTCCCGGAGCGGGTGTGGAGAGAGGAGCGCTCGCGCCAGGTCTGCGCCAAGCTCGGCTATCGCCAGGTCAGTTGCCAGACGGATCACCAGGTCAGTCACCAGGCGGATCACCAGGTCAGTTGCCAGGCGGATCACCAGGTCAGACAGGTTCGTATCAAGTCAACTCTCATACATTTATTTCTTACTCTTTTTCGTAAATTCATTGCCGTTGGAGTGCATAACTGTGATTTTCCGCTCGGAACCTCACATCGCCTTTGCTTTCAGGTGGAGTTCACAGATATGCGAGAAATCCCAGGCAGTGAAAAGTCGGCGGTTTACATATCGTGCGAGTAATGTATCGCGGGCGAAAATTGCGCTGCGCATCGACGTGGTCAGCTGAGATTGGTTAACTTGACACAAACTATTTTCAAGCATTCGTGCAGACAACGTTGCTGGATTAACCTGAAGCACATTGTTACGGTGACATGAGAAGTAGACCCGTTTGTCTTCATGTTTTGTCCTCGCTGTGAGCGTAAAGCATTGACGCTCGGCCGAAACAGGTGAAAACCTTGCCCGCGTGCCTCCTTGCCGACTGAAATTGTTAAATCCATTACGATATGCATACCTACCTATGCGAGCTACGATGTGACACCTCAATGGAAGAGCGAGGCTTCAATTCATCACACGCTGTGGCAATTGTCGGCTGTCGGGGCTGTTATCCAGTTCGTGGAGTTGCTCGTGCTTCCGATTTATGAGACGAACATAGGCTGCTGTGTTTGTCCAACCGGATCACCAAGTTGTGTTGAATTGCTGGCCAAATTGTTTCGCTGGTGTATAACGATCCGGTCACATGCATGGGGAATGTGTTGCCTTTTGTGTGGATGTATACGCATGTTGATAATCGCAAATATCCTCTAGTATTTGTTTCGTGTCGAGAAAGTTTGGTGCTGTTCTGGAACAGCGCGTGATTAGCTCCAGTCACACCACGAGAACTTTATCATTGGCGCACATAGAGCTCTGTTAGCTCACTTCGTGATTCTCACGCGGCATAGTGATGACGGCCTCATCTTGTTGACCTGGCCGTTTAAGTGAGCTATACGGCATTGGCGTCACATCTGCAATACACAAAGACGTGCAGTTGCATTCCGGTTGCTCATTCTGCGATGGGACGTGATTGCCGTGCCGAGTGATGTCTGCTAAGAGCGGCAAAAGAGATTGTGATTTCAGACTGGTTCAGAGCTGTGTACTTTCATTTGATACGCAGCACTCATTAAGCTATTTTGGCAGCAACAAACACGCAGTTGTGCGCGTTCCCCGGGATTGATTTATTACTGCACGTCAGCGCGGCAGTGGTGTTTACGATACGTTTTTGCAGGCTTGAGTGTTGACGCAATTACTCGTTGGCCAAATTTGTGTCTGAGCTTTTGTGGACTGGGACAGGGGTGCGAGAGGGAGAAGGTCTGGGTCAGCGCGGTTCATTGGAGATCCCGCTTATGTAGAATATATTAAGATAACAGGTACATCCAAGGAATGCATTACGCTTGCATCCTTTACAAACCGGACTAGCGTTTCACATTCTTGACTAATTGGTCCGCAAATGGTTGGCAACAAAATTTGGCCTATGCGAAATAAGTCACGCGCCGAGCACTAGTCTGCATGGAAGTGTGGCAGCAGCGGCACCAATCACCAATATTTAAAACTAGCGAATTTTGACACTTTCGATTGGAAACATTCTTCCGTGATAATGGCCGCGTGAGATTTTCTCAGTATTCCCAACAAGTCAGCGTGACTAAGGTCATACTGACGACTTCGGTCCCTCGCAGAGCGCAACGGTGGACGGAAGCTGTGCGTGCGTGGCGGCGCTTGCCTTTGTCCCTTGGATGTGGCTGGCCGCAGGTGGGTTTGAGACAGTCAGTTATCAGTTGATTTGCTCTCCTGGGACCTTGAATGGAGCTACGTAGTGTTCCAGCTTTCGGTCGTTCGGTGTCGTTTTTTTGCTTTCGATTTCGGTCCTTCGGTCGTTTCGGTTTTCATGCGTATTACATACATACATACACACACACACACACACACACACACACACACACACACACACACACACACACACACACACACACACACACACACACACACACACACACACACACACACACACACACACACACACACACACACACACACACACACACACACACACACACACACACACACACACACACACACACACACACACACACACACACACACACACACACACACACACACACACACACACACACACACACACACACACACACACACACACACACACACACACACACACACACACACACACACACACACACACACACACACACACACACACACACACACACACACACACACACACACACACACACACACACACACACACCACACACACACACACACACACACACACCACACACACACACACACACACACACACACACACACACACACACACACACACACACACACACACACACACACACACACACACACACATATATATATATATATATATATATATATATATATATATATATATAACTGAAAAAGTGTATTTTGTGGCTTCGTAACCCCATTAACCAAGTTCAACCTGACATAGAAGGTGTCTGATTGACCACAGGCGGTCAGAATGGACATTACTGGATTTTTTGTTGCATCCGCTTTTCTTACTCTGGCTTGCTCGAGTTAGGCCCTAATGGCTATGGGTGTCTAACGACTCTATCGCCAATGATCCGGTGAAAATGGCTCCCGTCCGTCAGGGTCTGAAACTTTCCACATGGACCAAAAACGCTCCCTCCAATGGAAATAAACCAAAACGAATATTTTGCCTGATCAATTTGGCATCTTCAGTCGTCCAATTTAACATAGAAATGAGCAGCCTGCCTGACATTAACCGGGGCTGTCTATTGATCAACAAATCTTGCAAAGCGAAAGGTTTGAGCTTTGAATTTCATGGTGTAACACGGTCATAAGATTATGGCTGTGGGAAACAAAATGCGGGCACCCCTCATCAATATTTGTGTACCGTGGTGCAATATCGGAAAGCCAATACGCCGAATGTGTGCTGTGGCGTGACGCACAAATTTCACGCCGAGTTCGTGACGACGTATGCATGCTCCCTTTGTTTTATACAAAGTAAGCCTATCATGTGAGACGATAACTTTCTTATTTGTTCGTCAAATTTGACCCCCAAATGGCCTTGACATGCCGGCTCAGCGTTGCCCGCGTTTGCCTCTTAGTGTTAAGTCAGCACAGCTCTAATCTGCAGGTGCTGTGCGGGAGGGGCGGCCGATGTTCACACGCGCTAGTTCCCACAATATAAAATCACGCGCTGAGAAAGAAAACACGTGAATCGGTACTCAATATGCTTTTATTGCGGCGGGAACGAGGAAAGTCAACACATTGAGCGTATAAGGCGACGTTGAACACACATTTCAAACCCCGTTCTGGCAAGGTGGTGCCTTTGACTGTGCTGATAGCTCCACCCTGTGGCACCCAATTACGTTGAATTATACGGGGACCTGAGTGACGTGTAAACGTGCTTTGTTGAGGCGCACAACCAGACTGAGCCAGTGCAAATACCAGTCACATCCGCCCATATACGTACTGTTGAGCACGGCGTGCCATATTTTGCGAAGAGGCCTGAGCAGAAGCATATGCGCGTATGAACACCAACGTGCAGGCCCGTATATCACACACCGGTCGGTATAGGCGCATGAGTTGAATGATAGAGGACCAGGGGGCTAGGCTGCCACCTGTAAAAGCTTGTCACTGACGCTATCGCGACGTATGGAAAAATTCAACCTTGAAGGGAGCCTTACACATTTGTATAGGGTTTTGGACTGAAAAACTATCATGAGGACCCTTCGGTGCTGTTCACAATCCTGCCCTTCTTAAGACTTAAACCCGCCTGGTTTCTGGACTACATGCCCGAGAAAATCGGGAAGGGTGTATCAGGGAGAGTATTTCAAAGTCACCTTGGCATCCATGAGGTCATTATAACGTCATTTCAATCCTGCCATTCTATACGTCATGCGGCGAATACGTCAAGGTCAATAAAAATATAATGTTCGTGGCATTTGTATCTGGCGTTCGTGAGCCCTCTCTCTCTCTCTCCCTCTCAAATTTTTGAGGTTTGAAGTCACCTGGTTACCGTGGTGCGGCTGCAGTGTTCATGAGACGGTAATTAATAATACTATTAAGAGGTGCTCTGGTGCGCCATTAGCGTCATATTTTCTCCTGGCGATTATAGCAAGGACACCAACACATACTGTTGATGGCCACAATTCCAAAATTCAGCTGTGATTACGACAGTTTTAACTGAGCTACGGTGTCACGGTGGAGAACGAGCAGCGCATCACACAGGGTATCCCATCGGCCATGGGGGGGGGGGGGGGGGCGATAGGCAACCCACGGCACCACCCAGGGGTGTAGTTGCCTATTCAGTTCACGGGCTTCAGCTCTCCCGTCCAACTTAGGCTTCTGGCCGTCAACTTTGGAAAGAAGTGGGTAAAAGCTGGCGAGAAATCCTGTTTGGTGGAATATTTCGGGGCAGGCTGGTTTATTTTTCACCGTTCAGCCCCCCAACTCATTTTGCGAACATACGCCCCTGGGTCCACCTTAACTTTTAGTAAACAACGACGCGCACAGTCAGCGGCGTGTGCAACATGCTTGTGCAATGCGTATCTCGGCAGAACGCCGATCCGGAGTTCTACAACTTCCTCCACATTTCCACTTCACGCCCGGGCTTCCTGCGACGTGGTGTCCGGCAGCGGCGCCGCCCGGCTGCCCTCGCGCGGCGAGTGGGGGTGGGGGTAAGGAGGGAGGGGGGGGGGGGCGCGCGGGGCGCCGCACGAGCGCGGCCGCTAACCCATCGTCAGCACACAGCACCGGATCGCCTCGAACGGAGGGACGTGGCCGGCCATGTAAGAGATGCCCGTTACGACTTCGTCGTCCTTGCACTCCACTGGCCACCTGCAGACGGACGGAACAGCAGTCGCCCGCGTCAATCAGCGCTCATCAGCGAACAGCGCGTCAACAGCACCAGGCCAACAGTCGCGTCAATCGGCGCCCATCAGTGAACAGTGCACCAACAGCACTAGGCAAACAGTCGCGCCAATCAGCGCTCATCAGTGAACAGCGCGTCAATAGCACCAGGTCAAAAGCCGCGTCAATCAGCGATTAGCGCGTCAACAGCACCAGGCCAACAGTCGCGTCAATCAGCGCTCATCAGCGAACAGCGCGTCAACAGCACCAGTCGAGAGGAACCGCTCCCTGAGACCTCGGTCCTGGCTCTGAGTACCGGGTCTGAACCAGAGTTCATCCAAGGTGTTTTCAGCACCAGTTAACAGGAACCGC